AGGGTAAGGGTAAGATCACTTACTCACACAAGCAACATATGAAGACTGAAACAAAGTGAGTCATAACACATCTATCAAAACACATGCTTATGACAGAAATGAGGGCCGAGATTGTGCATTGGGTCGCAGAGAGTCTATGTCCATTTGAGACCATCCACGATTGAGGCTTCCAGGCCTTGATGAAAATAGGACAGCCTGAGTACTACCTACCATCACCATCCACCATATTGCATGATGTGAAGCTTGTCTTCGCAAAAGTCAGACAATGTGTTGCACAGATGTTACAGAAATATGACAGTGAACTTAATTTTGCAATGGATGCATGGACTGCTCCGAATCACAGGGCATTTGTGGCCATCTCTGTGCACCTTGAGCACGAAGGGGAGCCCTTAGCAATGTTGCTCAATATCATCGAGGTATCAAAAGTGAGTCAATTCAAAGCGCATAAATCAAAAAATAATTGTGCTACTATATCCTCCCAGATCCTCAGTGTTACAGCTGACAATGCAGCAAACAACAATATGATGATGGCTGAACTGGCAGATAAGGTGGCCCATTTCAGAGGAGAGACGGCAAGGACACAATGTTTCCTACACATTGTCAATTTGGTTGCAAAGAGTGTACTAAAGCAATTTGATGTACCAAAAAAGCCCAGCGGAAACTGGGATTGGGAACTTTTGAACTGGACAAGAATGACTGGATGTTAGCAGAACAGCTATGCGATACACTCAAGGTAAGTGTGACCTGTCACACATCACAAGTTGATGACTCATTGTTTGTTAGATTCTCAAACACGCAACTTTGTACTTTTCACGCAGGACACCCAACCTTGCAATGGTGATTCCAGCAATAGATCACATTGACATGGTCTTTACGAATGAGATCATCAACAACCGTACCCTTGACCCTGCCATTTGTGCTGCCCTTCGATTTGCAAAAAACACTCAACTGTTATTATTCTATGACAGATGCCTCTGAGACTTACAGGATCACAATGGGTAAGTCATTGTTCATACTCTCTCATTTTTTCTAATATAAATACTGTTCTAGTTTTACATCCTCACCACAAACTGGAGTACTTTAAGTCCGCAGGGTGGGAGGATGACTGGATTGCGACTGTGCGCAATATTGTCCGCCTGGAATATGAACGTTCATATGTGTCTCGCTCAGTCCCACAGCCCGACAAAATCACTGAGGAGTCGGAGGAAAATGTTAGTAGAACAATCAAGGTGCGTTTACTACTCTCTTGTTTGATTCTGACCGTCACTAATGTCTGGTATTGCAGGATAATGACATCAATATTTTCAACCATCTGCCTGCTCTTGCAAAGCCCACAGTCACCTCCACTACTAATGAACTCAATGCTTACCTTGCAGCAGGTACTGAGGATGTCGATGATGCCCTTATGTGGTGGAAACACCAGCAGTCAACATATCCCCACCTGTCTCGCATGGTGTTTGACTTCTTGACAATCCCTGGTATGTTTGCCACTTGCTCACATCTCATCTTGCACAATCTGATGAACCTGTATATTCTAGCAACTTCAGTTGATGTCGAACACATTTTCTCTCGGGGCCGCTTGCTTTTATCCCATGTCTGTTCTCGACTATCAGCTCAGACTACTCATGCTTTACTTTGCCTCGGTTGTTGGAGTTTGCTTGGACTAGTAAAGGACAGTGATGTTTTACCTGTTGCGCTGAAGGATCTTCAACTCAGCTGAGGGTGCAGCTGATATAATTGTTGAAGGGAGGAAAATATGAGTGCGATATGTTCGTCCCTTAGGGGAAGCGGAGAAAGCAAATATCCACTGGTCAACTCTAGGGGGAATGCGCAAAGCGCGTGATAAGGCGAAAGCGTGGGAACAAAGGCGCTATAGGCGCGCGAAGCGCGGGAAAGTCGCGCGTCGAAAAGCGGAACTGGGTGAAAGCGGTATGCGAGCGATAGTGAGATGTTAAGACGTGTACTGAGATGCTGATAAGACAACTGATGCGGATATGGCCACTAGAGCTAACTGCTACTAGGGCTTGCGATGATTTATTCAAAACATAATAAAAACTCGGAGATGGTGACTGTCTATGATGATGGTGGTCCGTGGTAATGTGTGTTGTGTAAAGTAAAAAATGTGTCATGAAAAATGTGTACCAAGTGAAAATAAACATGGTACGATGTTGAAATAAATGATAAATGGAGAAATGCATACCTGGGAACTTGGTTGGACATGGGAAAACACAGTGGGAAGTCAGGCGCCCTATAGCGCTTAGGCGCGGGAAAATTCGCCTAAAGCGCGCGCAAGTCGTGCAAGTGTCGCCTATGTCGCGGAAGTGTCGCCTAAGTCGCGCGCGTCGCGCGAACGTCGCGTTTATCGTGCAAGTGTCGTGTTACATGCATGATACTGTAGACTCGACCTATGTTGCAATATGTGCCATTGTGAGGCTACCCAGGATCGAGTCTCTACAGCGCGGCTACCAGACCTTGATGGAGAGGAAGTATATCTTGAGGATGGTTGGGACAACACAACATTAGTTTGATTCATGTAGTAGCTATCTCAGATCTCGAAATTCAGTGTCATACCCGTGTCATACCTACAATGGGTCTGGTACCCGCATGACCTGTGCATACCCTCCATGGTACCCATACCTGCCTGCACCCTTGGGTATATGGGTACAGGTATACCATGGGTAGGGGTGTGGGTAGAGCTCTTGGTACCCACGGGTTTACCTGTGCCAATGTCTAGGCTGGGCTGCAAAATGTTTGCAGCACCTTGAATTTTTTGATGAAGACAGTCTTCCTGATGCATTTGGATTCTTGGACCTGGACTCTGTTATCCATGGTATTCATCTCATTCTCACAGTCAATTTCAAGACTACCAATGAGTTAATGGGACCAATGTTCGCATGGTGAAAGAGCAGCTCATGTGGGGAACTCTCTGACTGGCACTTTTATTATCTAACCATGTAAGTGCATTTAAATCCACACCCAGACGCATGCTGACATTACCTATTTACAGCTTCATTGATAGAGATATGTTCATGTGGTTTTGTGGTGGTGGAGTAGGCCACAAGGCCACACGTAATTGGGATGAATTTCTCTAGGATGAGGGACACAGTGGCGAGGAAGCTGGAGATGAAGATCTGGACTTGGAGGAAGATATACCAGAAGCAGAGGGGTCAGAAGATGACTTGGAGGACATTCAAGTTGATATAAATGAGGAGCAGGATAGAAGTAGTGACGAGGAGGAGGACAAGGATGATGGAGTGGTTGCTGACAATGGTGAGGAGCTTGATGATGATGTCCTTGCACAGGAGGGTTATGGGGCACTTTGATGTATTTGATGACCTCTAGCTCATATAAGCACTTGCATTTGCTGAGTATATGCTACTTCAATACATTTTATTACCTAGCAGATGTCTGACAAGTACACTATAGAGAAGGTAATGTCTACCAGACAGTGAGTCTGATGGACTCCTATTGTGCTGACACACCAATATCATAGGTGTATTGCACACGGCTGACGTGTGTCCAAAATTGGGCACATATCACGTGGTGTCTGAGTTTGGTAATTTTCATGATGGCTCTGTAACCTTTGTAGTGCGCATTGTTCAGGCAACAAGGAATTAATCAATTGTATGCTTGAAACAATGTGTGCCTCAAACCATCGTCTTCATAGCTTGTCCATTAAGTGCGTCATTTTGTACTTCCTTTCCCCAAAAATGGCCTACATGTTCACGCTCCGCAGTCTCGTTAATCGTTCAGGGGACATCGACATCCCACCATTCACATCAGTGAACTGATGGACCTCTGAGAATAATATATATCACAATATATAGTATACAATCACACAAATCTGCATAAATTTGCTATCAATCATCACATTGTCATTTTTGACCTTATTGAGGAAAGGAGAGTTGCTAATTTTCTTACACCTGCTTGTGATCAGGAAAAAACCCTCATATCACTGGAGTTCAAATTTGAAGGGAAGGTGGAGCAAAAGCTAATGATTAAACTGGATGAATCACGATCACCATGTCTGAATTAAGTTTCACGATGTTGAATAGAATCGTGAAAGCCAGAATCTTACAGAGAACAACAATGTTGCTCAGAGTGAGCAAGAATTGACCACAGGAATCAAAATTGTCAGTCGTCAGTAGTAAAGTTCTCAATATCCAAGCTAAGACTGAAAGGTCGTATCTTTCAGAGAACGGGAATGTGTTAATCCAAGCGGGGGACTGTACATCTGTGTCCCCTATTAAATCTCAATCATCTCCTTTGAAAAGCCAAAATTCAGTCGCTTCAGGGACAATTTTCCATGTGGGAGCAAAAGGCCAATATCTTGCAGACAACAAAATATGTTCGCACAAGTGCCTGACCAGAAAATTGCTTCGTGCTTCAACTTTAGAGGTCATCTTTTTTAAAAGCCAAATTTCAGTCGCTTCAGGGACAATTTGCCATGTGGGAGCGAAAGGCCAATATCTTGCAGACAACAAAAATATGTTCGCACGAGTGCCCGACCAGAAAATCGCTTTGTGCTTCAACTTTAGAGGTCATCTTTTTTATATGTTCAATGTTTGTCAACTATATAATAGCTTGGAATGCGAGTGGAGAAGCTATACCTTTGCACAGCAGCTGGATTTCATTCAACAGGTGGGCGACAATCAATTTGCATCATGCCTCGAATCTCAAGGTGATGTCATCTGAATAGCTAATGGCCGGCGGTGGGATATAATTTACGATTGCCTCCCAAGAAGTTAGGGCTGTGCACGGACCCTGTGTCATCACAGCAATGTACCTTGACTTCAAAATCGGCAGCGAAGGGTTATGTATCAACCTTGGTACCCAGCTTATCATTCGACTGCCCTCATATGTATTGTGCCATGCACCAGGGTCCAGTCATAACTGTACACAGAATTCAGATGTGTTCATGGTTGCGCTGTACTCCCCAGATCCAGCCTATCCAACACAAGCACGCAGATTCATGAACGGGAGCTTGAATTGCATGATTAGTGTGAATATTTGACCTGTAAGAGATGTTCATAACTGTGCTGCACTCCCTGGATCCAGCCTAACCAACACAAGCACGCAGATTCATGATATGGAGCTTGAATTGTGCGGTTAGCGTGAATGATCGGGAATACTAACATGTTCATAGTTGTGCTGCACTCCCCGGATTCAGCCAAACCAACACAGGCACACATGTTCACCAACTGGAGTTTGAATTGTGCCAATAGCGCGAATGCTTGAGAATCCGAAGATAGTAGCTGAATATTATTCATTTATTTCACACCAAGCTGGGTATTAATGTGGAAATAATAGTACACTACGTGAAGGATCTCTAGGACAAGTCAAAGGCTGCATCATCGTGTTGTGCCCTCTGCTTTACAAGAGTATTGACGGACATGCTGGCCTTCGCCGACTTGCTGATGTCGTTACGGTGGCTGCATCCAAAAACCTTCCTATATAGTAGAGTTCAGGTGATGCTTATTAGGAAGAATACATAACACACCTATTCCACCACTCGAGGAGCCTGTCGACCCTGCGCTGCGCATCTCGACCAGGGGGCCTTTCAAAGAAGTCAACAATAGTACGCCAGAATTGAACGTAGTCGAAATCGCCATCAACGGACTGCCATGATGTACAGTGGCTCAAAAAGTGTCCAAATGTTTATGCATTTTCAAGTAATTGGATAATAGCAAGCCAGCACCTGGGTATAATATAAATTTAATGGGACACGTCTGAAAGCCCTACATCATGGCTAAAATCTGATATATAAATCGTGGGAATCAGACCACATATGGGCAAGATATGGCAATTCTAATCACATGACTCATTCGGACACTTTTTTGACTTTATATTCAAATCACAAAATCAGACCATTCACACATAATATGATTAATGGAAGTGGTGCCATAATGAAAATTTGGTCTGATTTTAATATTATTTAAATATATAATCCCACATAACATCATAAATCTTAACATAATTATCATCAAGCTCCTCTCCTCTGATCAAAGGATAATATCCTTATTTTCTAAAGTCTACTATTGCTACAGCCATAAAGCAGAACCCTTCAGAGAAGGAAAATTATAAAATGGAATGACCTCTCAAGCTTACTCCACAGAACAAAGGAGTTATTGTTCATCAAATTCTCTATAGCAAGGCTGCAAATCTTGTCCAAGCCACCAAGTTCATCAATTCTGTTATCCCCACTCCTATCTTCACTCAAACAGTTATAAACACCCTTCAGGCAGCTAATCTTATGACTGTAACTGAGAGTAAAATGTCTCTTCTTTCAGCAGCTTACAGGGGCCTTTGCTTTAATGCGCTAACATTGGACTGTGCAAGACTGGAAGAAGGCGATTTGGTCAGTTAAGACAAAAATCAATAAAATGGGGTGAGATGGCCAGGAATATATGTGGAAAAGGGCAGGGAAACCATTAGAAGAAAGAGAAGTCAAGGGTACACTAAAGTTTGGAGAAGGCAGTATGATGGGAGGGGTGGAATGGTGTGGAATGGATTCTTTGTGAAGTGGAGGGAGGGATGCATGCAGAGCAGTAATTCTTCATTCTAGAGGAGTGTCTACTCAAAAGCATGCAGGAGTCAAGAATTGATGAAGAAGACATTATCTTCTAATAAGATAATGACCTTAAGCATACATTAAAGCTGGCTAAAAATGGTTTGAAGACTATGATATCAAAGTTCTATCATGGTCAGCACAGTCTCCATACATCAATCTCATTGAACATCTCTAGGAATTACTCAAAAACACCTTTCTGCCTATCAAGATCCTCCAAAGGGGTTATTTAAACTATATGAGAGAGTTGCAGTAGTGTGGTAAGAGATTACTAAGGAGAAGTGTCAGAAATTGATAGAGAGTATGTCTAGGATGGTAGCAGCAGTGATTAAAGCCAAGGTGAGTAAGAATATTATGTGTGAATGGTATGATCTTGTGATTTGAATATAGAGTCAAAAAAGTGTCCAAATGAGTTATCTGATTAGAATTACCATATCTTGCCCATATATGGTCGGATTCCCACAACACATATCTCAGATTTAAGTTGTGATGTAGGGCTTTCAGACATGCCCATATACCATTGTATTATATTCAGGGTCTGGCTTGCTATTATCCAATTACACGAAAATGCATAAACATTTGGACACTTTTTTGAGCCACTGTAACCGAAGAAAGTGAGAATCGAACCTGCCAGAATGGTCATCATACATCATCACTAGCAAATGCAATGACTTACTTGGCACGCAATGTACACGATCAAACGGGGAGTAACCTTTTTCATATTGATGATCTGTGCTACATTTTTTTTACCTTAAGTTTGTTGAAAGACTTTTTGGTGCATCTGTTGTTCTGGATGATATCTGCGCCATCCCCATCACCTTCGACGTCCTTGGCTGAGGAAGGTGATGTGAACACGACTTTATATCCCTACCTAAAAGTGAGATTACAATCAAGTTACAGCAGTAATAGAGCAGACCTGAATGAGTATCTTTCCCTTGAACAAACCCTCCTCAAGATCATCTGGATTGGCAGTATACTTATCATACAGGTAGACCAGAAAGGAGAGATTCATCATGATACAGCCCTCAGAGCAATCTCGAATGCCTGTCCGCACCCTGGTAAACAGTGAGCGTTTTATCTCAGGATTCCAAGGGCACTGGTACTTGGACTGGGTTATTCCAATCCAGTTCGGCAGGGCAGAGTAGCCTGCCGCATGCATCGTTGGAGAATCCACGGGTATGTTTGTCATTGGAATCGACTGGGGAATCGGGCTTGAATTCCCGATTAACCCATTCAGCAACAAGGGCCTTGAGCTTTGAGGTATCATCACCTCGAGCACTGTCAGCCCCCTGCTGAAGCTGTAACAAAAGGCTAAGCAACTCAAAACCAATCGTTGACATATACAAAACCAACCATTTTTAACATGTACAAGTACTCATCGTACTCCATGTCCGAACCCTTCCTGTAAAACCACGATGAGGTAGTTGAGAGGGTGATATACCCTATCTGTAGCCGATCTTGGCTACATAATTGAGCCCATGGTTAGCACTCACAAACTGGCTTGAAAGTTGAAAATTTTACTTGACAGTATGGTCTTCATCATCAGCTTCATATCTTCGGTCATTTTCAGCGATGAGGCCCTCAACGTTATCAAATAGAGTGACAACGCACCTGATCGCCCTTCCCTGAGCCGTGTAATGGTTTGCTTGCCTAACATACAATCAGTAAAGCAAATCATCGAATAGTACGTGCAATAGTGGCCATACCTTTCTTTGACCACACGTCCCGACTCGAGAGCCTCTAGCTTCTCCTCCAACTGGGCAATTCTTCACCTCTGGCGAGCCTGCACAGATGTTGTCGATGCCATTGGCTATTGGCCGTGCGCATTAGTTGTAGATGGTTCATGATGCTCGCCCTGTATGTCCTCGACATTGCAGCTTTCGTCCTGTTGGTTCTCGGTGTGCGATGTGGTGTCCTCGGCATGTGACATTGAGAAAGGGAGAAATAGGAGAATGACTCGGAGCTGGTATAGATGAGGGCGTTGCTTAATAGCCAAGGGAATAATGGAAGACGCGACTTGGGGACGAGGCATGGAACTAATCATCATCTCACATCTTATATTCTTGTTAGGACACTGGGTGCCCAAAAAGCATATTCCTATTGAGGACAACATAGAAAATATGATGATGGTGTCGCTTGAGAAAATGCCTGTTTAGGAAAACATTAACATTAGTATAAGGAACAAAGTCAAAACAGAGTTCTTGTGACTCTCCTAGTATATTGAGCCGGCATAGCCCTGCAAGATTGGATGACATGATCCTGTTGAGTAGCCATATTCGGAGGGAGTTTGCATACTCATGTTGGTCAGTCAGACATACTGAGAGTTGGCAAGCACATGACCCGAATGTTTCGTCATGGTTGGATCAACGTAGATAACTGACTACAGTCACGGTAGCTTGATGACTCCACACTGCATATGATAATAATTTGGAATAGCGACGTGTGAAATGTACTCAGTGGATTTACTCTCAATGAGATAGACTCTTCAATTGCATCCGAGGTCTCATTGGCAGGAACATTCCACGCCTCGCGCTTGCCCTCTAATTCTTCCTCATCAAAATTGATATCATCTTGTTCGACATGTATAATACCCTGGCGCAGAAGAGTGTATGCTTCTCGCACGAAGACTGGCGTGATTTCTGCTGTGCAGTTGGCATGGGCGATGGCTTCGCTCAAGTGGATCATTGATTCAAGTTGACGAACGGTGATCCTGTAGGAATGACATCCCTGCTCCTGTTGCGTTATCCTGTTGAAGGATGCAGTACTTCTCTACAAGGATATCGGCAGCCTCTGGAGTTAGCTGCACAAAAATCAGTAATATCCAACAGACATCAGGTTGTATCTTACCTTGGGGTTGAACGTCCTGGCATACCGGATGTACCGCTGCAGAGCCTCCGTACTGAACTGCGGGTTAATAGCTTCATCCAGGAACCGATGCACATTTATAATATGCTTAGCGATGTTCAAGTCCATCTTCTCATTGCACTCATCGAGTACAACAAAGAACATATCAAACCTGCTCATAATCGGGGCGCTCATCGCGACGTTGGCTCTTAGCGTCCACCAATGGGGTTAGCTGCAGTGAGGATACTCGTGCGAGCGTTGAGGGTCGCATGGATGCCTGCCTTCGCAATGGAGATTGTCTGTTGTTCCATCGCCTCGTGAATAGCAACTTGGTCGGCAATGTCCATCTTGTCGAATTCATCAATGGCGCAAATGCCATTGTCCACAAGCATGAGCACACCAGCTTCAATCATAAAGTCACCAGTCTCTTCGTCTTTGACGATGGCAGCTGTCAGACCTTCTGTAGATGAGGCTTTGCTGGATGTATAGACTGCTCGTGGGAGAAAAGAGCAAATGTATATGTTAGTGCATTAGCAGTTGGTTTGGTGTACTTTTACCATCAGTTGAAATGCACTTCAAGAATTATGATTTTGATGTGGAAGGATCGCTGACAATGCAGATGTTGATGTCCCCATGGAGGTGCATGCCCTCGGCTGTTTGCTTGTGAACGCCACCCATAAGCTGCAGGGGTCCTTTTTTGACAATTTCATGACCGTATATGGTGGGTGCAATGCTCTCCACAAGCTGAGAGCATATGTGATCTGAGTCGATCATGCTCTTGAACTCATCAATTTCAGGTTCGGTAAGCGGGCGGAGGAATGCCTGTCCATCCTCGTCGCCCTCCTCCTCTTCTCCACAAACATTAGTGCCACCCTAGAGGAGAAATTAGTAAGATTCTTTAACTCAATCACAAGCACACATACATACCCTGCAATCAGCATCGTGTACCATGCATACTAGGAATGCAGTCTTGGACTGCATGTCCCGCACACCAAGACTCTTAAGCCCCGTCTCACCACTTCCACCTACACCACCCGTTTAGGCATTTGCCCCGCTCTTACTCGCTTCATGCATTAGCTCTGATTTGTTTCCACCTGGCAGTCTGAGCTGGCTGACATCCGGGACAACAGTAAAGGTTCTAGTGAAAACACATTTATATCCTGCCTTGGCACGTTCGACAAGTTCAGAGCAAAGGATGACATCCAGAGATCGAGGCTGTTAAGACCGTACTCAAGTAGTATCGGATCCGAAGGGCTTCGGCCTCAGCTCGTGCGCTGTGCCCCTTTCCCGAGTCTTGCCCCTTATTTCGGAGAGCTAAAGTATCGCATAGAGTAACGGCCAATCCGGATCGGATCCGGACTGGAAACTAACGGGTGAGGACTGTCCGAAGACAGAGGCAGATATGTAGACTATAGGAATCTATCCTAAGTCTCGGAGTAGACAAGAGTAGTGTACTCAAGTCCGGATGGATAACGGAGGGACTCAGAGTCCAGACGGAATGAGTGCAATCTAAGATGATATTCGAACTGATCTACTACAGCGCATATACAAAGGTTTATATACTACGGATAGCTAACGGAATGATCCATAAGCAAAGGTGCGAGGCTATGTACGAAAGTATAAGCAAAGTCTAAGTGGAGCGTATTGGTAAGTTGGATGGATCACGAATCATGAACCGGGAATGAAGTACAAGTAAAAGCGGATTCGTAAGTGTAGCGGATCAGTAAGCATAGCGGATCAGTAAGCAAAGCGGAAGTAAAGGATAACCGGTATACCGGTGTACAGGAATACCGAAAGGAGATGAACGATAGTTAGAGTTATATGAACAGGAAATGAAATAAGAATCAAAGCGGATCTGTGGACCGGACGACGGATATGTTCATCGGATCTGGATCGGATCTGAGATCCAGATCATCGGATCTGTAACCGGATATATGGTATATGACAGAGGCATGGAACTGGTGGGTATCTTGGATGGATTGTGCTGTATGCGGACCTTTTGCCAATCCATAAATTTGGAAGTGTTGATTTGAAGCTGCCATGCGATGCAGTTTCCACATGTAGGATTAGGACAGAGACTTGGCTGGACATATATAAGCGCATACATCCATGTATCTTTGAGGGACGTAACATTACCTCGGTATATTTGAATTGCTGTTCTATCTTGTTGACGAGACCACCACAGGCTTCACAGATGAAGCTACCATAAAGGAGTTCAGGCCTCACTTCGCTTGTGCGAGTGACAGTGCCGCTGATTAAGGTGCCTATCTTATCGATTCTTAGATTATGGATACCGGATACTAGAGGTACAGTGGCTCAAAAAACTGTCCGCATGTTTTGACATTTTTCACTATCTATGATATTGTGTGAGAATGAACAAATTCCTCAAGGACATACTTATACCACATTGTAGTATGGCTTCAGGGCTTTTATTTGAGCCCTACACCGTGGGAATCGGCGGAGATATGGTGGAGATATAAGGCTTATAAAATGATGACTCATGTGGACAGTTTTTTGAGTGTATATTAAAACTATATAAATCATTATTTATGACACCATAAAAATCATGCCACTATTATATAAATTATAAAGTGGTGTCATTATGTTATTTTATGACTATATCTAACTATATAAACCAGAATATCTCATGTATCATAGTCATAATCACCATGAAAGCCATCTCCTCTGCTCAAAGAGATAATATCCTCTCTCTGTCTTATGCTGGCCTCTCTGCTCGCCAAATTTCCTCTAGAACTGGAATATGCAAGTCCACTGTGGCCAAGTTCATCAAAGAAAGCCACCCAGACAAGGAAAACTCTTGTGGAGGATGTCCATCCAAGCTTACCTCTACTGACAAAAGGGCTATTATCCAACATATCACTACAGGAAAGGCTGATAATGCTGTCCAAGCCACCCATTATATCAATTCCACCATCACTACCCCTGTCTCTTCACAAACTGTGAGGAATGTTCTCAAGGCAGCTCATCTCAAGGCAGTAACAAAGAAGAAAAAGCCTCTTCTCTCCATCAAACATAGGCAGAGAAGACTAGCCTTTGCCTTAGCTCATCAACACTGGACTGTAGAGGACTGGAAGCATGTTATATGGTCAGATGAGACCAAAATCAATAGGATTGGGTCAGATGGGAAGGTGTATGTATGGAAAAAGAAGGGAGATGGCCTAACAGACAGAGAGGTTAATGGGACTGTCAAGTTTGGAGGAGGTTCTTTAATGGTATGGGGCTGTATGGGATGGAATGGTGTGGGAATGCTTGCTGAGGTTGAGGGGAAGATGAATGCTGAGCAGTATGTGGACATTTTAAATGACCACTTGCTGCCTAGCTTGGCAGAATCAGGGATTGATGAAGAAGATATCATTTTCCAACAGGATAATGATCCCAAGCACACATCCAGAAGAGCTAGGGAATGGTTTGAAGAACATAACATCAATGTTCTTGACTGGCCAGCACAGTCTCCTGATGTCAATGTCATTGAACATCTCTGGGGAACACTCAAGAAAAAGCTTCAAGCCTATGAAAACCCCCCTAAAGGAGTATGGGAGCTTTGGGAGAGAGTAGCAGTGGAATGGGGGAAGATCACAGCTGAGGATTGCCAGAAATTAATTGAGAGTATGCCTAGAAGGATAGAGGCAGTAATTAAAGCCAAGGGAGGTCATACAAAATACTAGAATACCTGGTTATTACTGTAAAATACTTGAGTCAAAAAACTGTCCGCATGAGTCACCATTTTGTGAGCCTTGTATCTCCACCATATCTCCACCGATTCCCACGGTGTAGGGCTCAAATGAAAGCCCTGAAGCCATACTACAATGTGGTATAAGCATGTTTTTGAGGCATTTGTTTGTTCTCACACAATATTATAGATAGTGAAAAATGCCAAAACATACGGACGGTTTTTTGAGCCACTGTAGATGGTAGAACACGATATTGAATTCTCATGACTGGAGATTTGCGGAGTCGGTGGTAGCGGCTGTAAGATTGATCTTGAGGTACTTGGGCTCATACTCTGCAACAAGATTGTGCAGGGCGCAACGGAGGTAGGGAAGGAACCGGTAGTACTGCTTCTGAATCGCGTCTGCGAGGACGTTGCCTTTTTGTAGGAAATGTGTAAAGTTGTTAAGACCGTACTCAAGTAGTATCGGATCTGAAGGGCTTCGGCCTCAGCTCGTGCGCTGTGCCCCTTTCCCGAGTCTTGCCCCTTATTTCAGAGAGCTAAAGTATCGCGTCTAGTGAGACGGATAAGTATTGTAACGGATAAGACTTGTATCACAACGGATAAGTATTGCAACGGATCCGTTAAGACTTCCAGATATCGAACATATAGAGTAACGGCTAATCCGGATCGGGTCCGGACTAGAAACTAATGGGTGAGGACTGTCCGAAGACAGAGGCGGATATGTAGACTATAGGAATCTATCCTAAGTCTCGGAGTAGACAAGAGTAGCGTACTCAAGTCCGGACGGATAACGGAGGGACTTAGAGTCCAGACGGAATGAGTGCAATCTAAGATGATATTTGAACTGATCTACTACAGCGCATATACAAAGGTTTATATACTACAGATAGCTAACGGAATGATCAATAAGCAAAGGTGCGAGGCTATGTACGAAAGTATAAGCAAAGTCTAAGTGGAGCGTATTGGTAAGTCGGATGGATCACGAATCATGAACCGGGAATGAAGTACAAGTAAAAGCGGATTCGTAAGTGTAGCGGATCAGTAAGCAAAGCGGAAGTAAAGGATAACCGGTATACCAGTGTACAGGAATACTGAAAGGGGATGAACGATAGTTAGAGTTATATGAACAGGAAATGAAATAAGAATCAAAGCGGATCTGTGGACCGGACGACGGATATGTTCATCGGATCTGGATCGGATCTGTAACCGGATATATGGTATATGACAAAAGTCGACATAGAGGATGATTATCTCATATTCACACACGGTATGGATTTGCTGGATGTAGATTAATTTACCCTCAATGACCTCTGGAAGATCGCCATCGGATGCGGGTGTTGAGACCAATGCAACTTCTTCAGTAAACCTGTAGAAAATAATCAGAACACACAAAATATATATTGATGTGACATACGTCTTTAAGAAAGTCTCAAAGCTCTCGGACACGCTCTCGCTGACAGCATCTCTAATGAGTGGGACATCACCATTTTTCTGATTTATGGGTCGCCTTCTCCGTCTCATTGTGGCACCATCTTCCTCTGCCTCATGAGCCTCGTCGTTGTTAAATGCAAGTGCATCAGATGTTGGTCTCCTGCCTGCAGATCTGGGTGTCCCATTAGAAGAGGACATGGTGGCCATGGGAGCGCTGCTTGGTGGCAACGACAACCTGGGTGCTGGTGGTACAGTCCTAGGTGCAGTAGTGACCAGAGACCATTCCCAGAACTCGGAAAGCTAGGAGGTGCAAAAGGTATCGAGGGGACATACACATTGCCCACAATGCTGAGCAAGATGTTCCAGGGCTAAGTATACGATGATTCCACGAAGAGTCAAGGATACAACAAATCAGATCGAGCACAATTAAAAGACATGCAACGGATGACGTTTACAAGCCAAACATGTCCTCATGATAGTGTCTGTGTCAAACATAGTATCACCTGAACACAAAAGACCGAATAAGCAGAAACTCACCCTGCGCATCAACCATGCACACCAAACTTCTCGTAATGAAGTCCTGACTGCTCCCTCTCGTCTGTTCAGGCTAAGCGAGGCCATGGAGACATTGGACGTGACGATGTCATTCACTGATCATATTGTGACCATAGGAAGTGTAGCACGATATAATTCTGCTGTCATCACATAGCAAGTCAGCTTTTATACTATGAGAAATGGAGTCACACATACCCATAGATATGCGCCTGGTCAATGCCTGATGTGCCGCCGCAAAGCGGGGCGAGTTTTAAATTGTTTGCTTCTGAAGGTTTTCCAAACAAAGTCTTTTGATTATGTAAGAGTTCGCAAGCGCACTGACTCAATCGTTCAGACACAAACTTGAAAGTTATGCTGACGAAGTTCACGATGGAAGTGGTCAAATTGCATGTATACTACTAGTATATTCCATAGCCATAGTGACTGACAATAAATTGAACGTATGAAAATCAAACACGATGTGCAGCGGCTACTATGTCTATCAATCTGGCATGAGTGTGTTTCTTGTATTCCTCCCACTGCGTCGAGAGCTTCGGGTTGGGTTTGATGTAGTCTCTAATGCAATCTGATAGCACTGTGTACCTAGGCTTGAAATTAGCTACTCCAAAGTTGATGGATACTGTTAACAGCCCGCCCGCTAGCTCCTGTAGAGCACACTCCACGGCTGCTGCGGCTGTACAAAACAGACTGTCAAGTTCTGTAATGTAGGGCACGTAGCCGAGCTTCAAAATGGTGTTCATAACGACATGCAATACCACATGATTTTCGAAAGCAAACAGCTTCTTGCTGTTGACTTGGGGGTTGCTGTCAACTTGGGGGTTGCTGTCAACTTGGGGATTGCTGTCGACTTGGGGATCGTTATCGACTTGGGAATCGCCATCGACTTGGGAATCATTGTTGACTTGGGCATCATCCAAGTCATTCCTGAATATGTATTTGAGGGGGAATAAAGGATCATTGATGAGGTCCATCACTGCATCAATCTGATACTGTGGTTCAGACCTCTCCGACCAGATTGAGGGGCGAAGTTTGTACCCGATTTGAGCTACGGAACGGGCAATTTTCTTGCAGGTAGACATGATATCCATGGACGGCGGCACTGTGAACAATTTATAGAACATGGTGACATTTTCTGCACCCCATTGACCCCCGTACTCTGGAGAAAGTTTCAGATACTTTCAAAATTAAGGTAGGCACTGCGTACCTTCATCATATACATTTGCTGCCGAAACCAATTCATCATGAGCTGCCGCCTTTCTTTGTTGCTCAGTCAAGAATGGGGATGTACTAAGTGCAGATCGAATGAGTGTCGTACGCACCGCTCCGAAGATTTTCTGATGGATTCGGGTCTTCTCATTGTACTGTAAGGGCGCTATGCGAGATGGTCGCGAGGGTGCCGTGGACGGAGGAGCATCCGAAAAACCCTGAAAGTCATTAAGTGATCAACAGTTTATAAACAACCACAAGATCACCCACCTGAGCGCCAGTTAGACCCCTCAACTTTGGTCACACACGCGGGTATGGCAAAAACTTGATTTCTATCGGCTTTTCCAGAGGTTGGCGATTATGTGATCCAGATGGTTGAGGGGGAGGCGAAGGATCTCTGACGTGGAATGAATCCCCAAGAGGCAATGGCTCATCGAGGCGTAACAGCTCTCCAAGAGACGGGATGTCCTCCGAGTCTGGTGCTAAAGTGGATATTCCATCAACAGACACGATTGGTGGAGGGAATGCAGGAAAGTACAGAGGAGGAGACGAGTGTGGTAGCCCAGACCCCTGATAAGGGATAGCAGAAGGATTGTACATCGGGTGATACCCTGCGTGCAGATCGAGGGTGGACTGAAATGGGTCACCGACGAATGACACTGATGGATCTTCATCATCGCCAGTCATAACAAGATCATAACGATTGCAAAAGTTTGTGTGTCAATCGACGAAGTTCAGGTTTGGAGAAGGGTCACCATAATGAGAGGCAGGTGGTTCTGCGCTAGATACAGTGGGGGGGTAATAATGGTAATGACCGGGGAAATTTGGGTTTGAAGATAGTTAATGAGGAAATAATGCTGATGTGTGGTCGGTAGAGCTCTGGGTCTGGGTGGGGAAAAAATCAGGACTGTGGCTCGCTTGGATGTTCACGAAGTAGTGCGAGTTGTGGGGGGGCTGCTGCTGGCAGCAGCGTCCTATAAGTCTTATTGCAGCCATCTACGCCTTAAAATGGTCAGATTTAGTTGATCTGGCAAGCGATAAATGCTTTGACTAATTATAACCGCACAGCTGAGCAATGAGGCATGGGCGCTATATCAGAGATGCCTAATTTGGCTTTCAACATCGGCACAATTTAATGATGGATGTAATTCACCTTGACATTGTACTGCAGCCTGGAAAGTTTGGGGCGAGACTTTCAAATTACCATTTGCTACCGTCGGGCATAGGGTTACCACGTGACAAATTGAGGTAGAAGTTCTGGAAGTTCATCATGATGTAGCTCAGCACCAAAGAGTCGCAATAAGATATGTTCAAATTGTACCTCATTTTGATCAATGAACTCAACTGTAGCAATGTGCATCCGAGTTGGACCGGGCAATAATCATGGTAGTAAGGCTCAGGGATCCAGCAATTCATCCGAGTCATGGCCCAGGCATGCAGAGCTGCTACTTGCATAGATTGAACATAGTAGTATTTGCAAAACACGAAACTAAAGTAGAATAATTTTCTTCAATGAGCTTCAAAGATGTCAGACAGCATCATGGTGAGGCTCTGATCTATGAAGTTATCGTGACATGAAATTGGTGCGGTATCATGATACTCAGGCTACTAGTAGTACTCACCTGCCAACCCTGGCACGCACAACTTCACTCTAAGTTTGCCAGTGAGCCTCCAAGTCCAGTCGCATGAGGCTCCGTTTGCACAGGGACGAGTCCAGTCATGGAAGCAACTGCCAGAGAGATGGGCCGGCTTGGCCTGGCTTAGAGCAACTTCAAGTCAGTTTGAACTTACTGCAAGGAGTTAATGTAAGGAAGTACTAGTAATATGATGGAATGCAAGGAGTAAACTTCTCTATTGAATGGCTTTGAGCGGTCCAAATCAATTGTATGTGCACGAGGCTCAGGCTGTGCACATTAAATTGTGTGGAGTCAGAGGGGTGCCGGAAAGAAGAAGGTAACACATAAATCAGAAGCCGCCGTTTGCCAAAACAGTTGCCAGTGGGCACATTCAATGGTCCCGGCCTCCAAGTTGCCGCCGTTGAAGCATAAACTGACAGTTAAACTGGAACGTGACGCTGCGTCAAGACTGAGTGTACTTCAACTAAGATTAAGACACATACCTCGATCAATCATCTATATCACATGTGACATCGATCCTTCAAAACTTGAAACAGTCAAAGGCAATGAACGCTTGAATGATGATGATCATATCAGGCTAAGTGCAGACTCCTCCACGATACAAATAAATATAAACATTGGTCATCGTGTGTCCTTCAGGTAACCAGGTTCAGAGTTGGGGCATCTGTCCTAGTCACTATGATATACAGTATATTATATGGAACGAAACAAACTGCATCACAGTGCGCGGCTGCTAGGCTGCTATTAGCGATGGATTCGGCACCCTGGAGGCGGGAATGGATTCAACAATTTCAAAGAACCTGATCATCAAGTTGGTCCTCTGACTTACACAGAAATCAGTTGTTAAATGACCGTCCAGTGACAACCCGGCTTTCAACAGCTGACTCGGATGAGTGTCGACAAATATATGACCGTAGTAGACTGGTATGCCGGCCCTCTTTATCCCAACCATAGTACCACCATTTGACTGATGCAGTGGCAGCCTTCTGAACTTCCAGTGGTCTTCCGTTTATGGGCTTACCATGTTCAAATTGTAGAAAATGTAACGGTTATTGGCGTTTTGAAGGTGCTGACTCAAGAGAGAGCAACCTTGCTAAAACTCTTCCCATTCTGTGAGCTCATTTTTGTTGGTGAGAAAGACTTGACATTCTGTGCTTTGATGCTGTACTCAGGCTATCTGACTGGTGCTGGGGATCTGCACTCAAACGCAATGCTTCGGAGGTTTTGACCCATTGCATGACTGAAATGATAAATTGGCTGTTCCAATATGTGCAGGAGCATATGGTGGACATCTTTTTTAATTTGGTTCGGTCCTAAATGTTGATCATGTGCTTGCTAAGGCCGACAACTTGTCCCTCAGCCAGGTTTCTATGGTATCAGACAATTTGCAATGGATGGAGAAGCTAGATTAGCCATCAAAACCCATCTTCGAGACTGCCTTAAAGAAAGCAGCTGTTACTGCTGTACTGGGTTCATCAACTCTTCACAAGGAACATTGTGTTCTTTGATTGATATCTATGCAGGTTCATATCATACGGTCAGTAGATGTCCGAATCATATTGTCTGCTGCTCAACCTCTTCAGATTACCTCGACCTTGATGACTTTTACTCTCGCCATGGTATTGTATCCAGATGTTCAGAGACGCACACACGTGGAGATCGAATCAGTGGTGGAGGAGATCAATTGCCTACATTTGAAGACAGAGCCTCACAATTATATCCTTCTGCAACAACTTGAAAGACACTTGTGAGCATGTTACAATCAATGCATTCGAATGAGCACTTAGTGCAGCCTGATTTTCATTTTTGGTGTGAGCCTGAGTCTTATCCATGTTGGTGGGAATACTGACAGTGGTTGATAGATATGGTGACTCAGATATACTCAGATATTGGCATTGGGGAGTGGATGTAGATGTTCAGACCTCAGGGGGTGAGCTTTTTTATATAAGTTATGTGACTGGTAATGTACTATGGTAGGGCAGAGGCTCCGATGCCGTACGCACATACTCAAGTATGGGTAGCCTAGAGATCAGCGACTAAGTGCTTCGTGGCTCAATTGTGCAATTATTCTGGCTATCCTATTCCTGGACTGAAGTAAGGTTCAAACGCAGTTCCCCATCTTGGTATGTGCCAAAAACCTGATTCCCAATTTGGATATGCATTAAGTTCCCATTTTTGGTATGTGCTGTCCAAGCGATAAGAGAGAGGTGACTTATACTCGCCACAAACTCCAGGATGTTCAAACTCCGATGGGCCTATTTACCAAACCCTTACGCACGTCAACCATAGTAGAGCCCCTTCAGTGACAAATCCCGTATTATACGGGTCACCCGACCTACATAATATCCCGTGTAATACGGGCCAGCGGATTATGGGCCGATGTTATGTATATACCCGATGTTGACGGGTGGGCCGGGAGGAATATTATTTCCGATGGAGACGGGTGGGCCCATCTATGCTGATGTTATATATATCATCGATGATAGCAGATGGGCCGGGAGAAATATTATTATGGAGATGGGTGGGCCCATGTGGGTAATATGTAGAGTAGGATTGACATATATTATAGACCTGAGGAGAGATGTATAGCAAATAGTATTATATAGACGGGTGGGCCGACGTATCAGTATTATTTTGTAGATGGATGGGCCGAGGGAGCGGTGAAATATTTATTAGATAGACGGGTGGGCCGACGTAGGGAAATATTAGATAGACGGGTGAGCCAAGGGTGGGGTGAATTATTTATTACATAGACGGGTGGGCCGATGTGGGGTAATATTAGATAGACGGGTGGGCCGAGGGTGAGGTGAATTATTTATTACATAGACAGGTGGGCCGACGTGGGGTAATATTAGATAGACGGGTGGGCCGAGGGTGAGGTGAATTATTTATTACATAGACAGGTGGGCCGACGTGGGGTCATATTAGATAGACGGGTGGGCCGAAGTGCAGAATTTTACATAGATGGGTGGGCCAACATTGGGTAATATCAAGTACCAAGTACTAAAACCCAAAACCCAAAACCTGAAACCTGAAACCCGAGCCCTGAACACCCAGACTCGGGACTCAAGAGACTCAAAACTCAAAATTCAAAACCCAACTGGAAAGTCATTCAAATTTAAGATGATATACATTTTTGTCATCTGGAAATACCGAGTACCAAGTGCCGAGTGCCGAGTGCCAAGTGCCGAGTGCCGAGTGCCAAGTGCCGAGTGCCGAGTGCCGAGTGCCGAGTGCCGAGTGCCGAGTGCCGAGTGCCGAGTGCCCTGAGGCTTCCGGGTATTAAAACACAGATAGCCCTCGCTCTCAGGGGGTCATCAGAATTTAGATCACCTCAAACGGATGTGATTTGGGTGAGATATGAGCAAAATACTATATACCGGGTGAATTTCAGCATTGGAAGTTTGATGCTTTCGATGTTTTTGATGTCGGGTCTCGATGCTTTCGGGCATTGACATGTAGATAGCCCTTGATCTCAGGGGTGTGGCAGAATTCACATTGTCTTAAACGGATATAATTTGAGTGAGATATATGCAAAATACCACACACTGACTACCGAGTGCTGAGTGCCAAGTGCCAAGTGCCAAGAACCGAGTTCCGAGTGCCGAGAACCGAGTTCCGAGTGCCGAGTGCCGAGTGACCCGATGCTTTCGGGTATTAAAAGCCCTCGCTCTCAGGGGCCCGTCAGAATTTAGATCATCTCAAACGGATGTGATTTGAGTGAGATATGAACAAATACTATATACCGGGTGAATTTTGGCATCAGAAGTTCAATGCTTTCGATGTTTTTGATGTCTGGTCTTGATGCTTTCAAGCATTAATATGTAGATAGCCCTTGATCTCAGGGGTGTGGCAGAACTCACATTGTTTCAAACAGATATAATTTGAGTGAGATATTTGCAAAATACTATGTATATACTGACTACCGAGTGCTGAGTGCCGAGTTCTGAGTTCTGAGTTCCGAGTGCCAAGTGCCGAGTGCCCAGTTCCGAGTGCCGAGTGCCGAGTGCCCCGATGCTTTCGGGTATTAACACCCAGATCGCCCTCACTCTCAAGGGCCCGTCAGAATTTAGATCATCTCAAACAGATGTGATTTGAGCGAGATATGAACAAAATACTATATACCGGGTGAATTTTGGCATCAGAAGTTCAATGCTTTCGATGTTTTTGATGTCGGGTCTCAATGCTTTTGGGTATTGACATGTAGATAGCCCTCGATCTCAGGGGTGTGGTAAAATTCAGATTGTCTGAAACAGATATAATTTGAGTGAGATATATGCAAAATCCCATATACTGACTACCAAGTGCTGAGTACCAAGTGCCAAGTGCCAAGTGCCAAGTGCCTTCCGAGTGCTGAGTGTCCCGATGCTTTCGGGCATTACCACCCAGATAGCCCTTGCTCTCAGGGGTCCATCAGAATTTTGATTATCTCAAACAGATGTGATTTGAGTGAGATAGGAGCAAAATACTATATATCAGGTGAATTTCGGCATTGGAAGTTCAATGCTTTCAATGATTTTGATGTCGGGCCTCAATGCTTTCAGGCATTGATATGCAGATAGCCTTCACTCTCAGGGGTCCTTCAGAATTTGGATCATATTTTCGCATCAGGAGTTTGATGCTTTCAATGATTTCAATGTGAGGCCCACAGTATATGGGATTTTGCTCATATCTCACTCAACTCTTATCCATTTGGGATGGGCTAAATTCTGCCAGACCCGTGAGATCTAGGGCTATCTGCATGTCAATGCCTGAAGGCATCGAGGCTTGATATCAATAACATCAAAAGCATCAAACTTCTGATGGTGAAATTCACTTGGTATATAGTATTTTGCTCATATCTCACTCAAATCACATCCGTTTGAGATGATCTAAATTCTGATGGGCCCCTGAGAGCGAGGGCTATCTGGGTGTTAATACCCGAAAGCATCGGGGCACTCGGAACTCGGAACTCGGAACTCGACTCGGAACTCGGAACTCGGAACTTGGAACTCGACACTTAGTGCTCAGCACTTGGTAGTCAGTATATTTTATTTTGCACCTTTCCCAAGTACATACCCTTAATTTCAGAATGAAGTCCAGATGAAATCCAATGAAGTCCGAAGGACTTCCAGAGACTGGCTACTCTGATGGAGTGCTGGAGGACTTCTGGATGAGCACAGGAACCTTCCGGAGGAGTATAGAAACTTCTAGAGAAGTACAGGAAACTCTGGAGGAGTTTCACGTGCTGCATAGGGTCCGAAGATAAGACTTCTGAAGGTAAGCTTCCTAGATGGAAGCACATGGAGGAGAGACTGCAAGGGACAGAGTCCAAAGCAGGATCAGATAGGGGGAGTGGTCCAGAGGACAGGATGTCTGAAGGTTGCGCCATCTGAATGTTCAGATGTCCAAAGGTTAAGATGTCCAAAGGTTATGATGTCTGAAGGTCATGATGTCCGAAGGTTACAATGTCCGAAGGTTTTGATATCCGAAGGGTAAGATGTCCGGAGATCCAAAGGTCCGGAGATCCAAAGGTCTGGAGGTCAGCAGGAGTGGACAGGATTATAGGACAGGAGAATAAAGGCTACCATGGACAAGGTCTGGAGTAGAAACAAACAGAGGTAGGCTACACTTAGGTGGAGTCGGAGATAACAGGAAGTAGACATAAGTCTTGGAAAGACAGGAAGTGCCAGAAAGGCAAAGGTCCAGCTTAAGGAATCAATCCTTAAGCTTGGATAGAGATGGAAGGACAAATCCAAAGGTTTGGAAGTCCAGCCTAAGGAATCCTTCAGGTTGGACTCGGATCTCAGTACACTTCACTTTATTTTTGATATCCGGGACTCCATAGTCGGAACTTGAGTCTTGAATCTCGGGTGTCGGTTGTCGGTTGTTGGGTGTTGGGTGTTGGGTGTTGGGTGTTGGGTGTTGGGTGTTGGGTGTTGGGTGTTGGGTGTTGGGTGTTGGGTGTTGGGTGTTGGGTGTTGGGTGTTGGGTCTCGATGGTCGGGACTCAATATTTGGGACTCGTTGGTCGGGACTTGATACTTGATTGTTGGGATTCAATGGTCGGGCATTGGGTTTCAGGACTCAAATCTCGGGCTTTGGGACTCGGGTTTCCAGACTCGGTAGTCGGGACTCAATGGTCGATTGTCGGGATTTGATAGTCAGGGCTCGGATATTGGTACACTTCACTTGATTTTCGGTAGTTGGAACTTGGCATTTGGCATTTGGTAGGCTTGGATGATGTTGGCTTTCAAAGATCTATTATCATATATTGCTCAATGAAATACCAGACGATCGGAAGTGTGCTGGACATCACATATTCATTTGTCGAGACCCGGGTCTCGGAACTCGGTACACTTCGCTCGAGTTTCCACTTCACCCCTTTGCAAGGCTCCATGCCATACTACATCATTAGATGACTTTGAATTATTACCTCCATGATATACAACTAGCTGAGCTCCATCATGTCTACAATTATCATTCTCCTGGGCCCACCCGTTTATATTATATACCCCTACGTCGGCCTACCCGTCTATGCAATATATGTCTACCATTGGCCCACCCGTATATAATAAATCTTTCACCGCTCCCTCAGCCCACTCGTCTACAAAATAATACCAATACGTCGGCCCACCCGTCTACAAAATAATATTAATTCGTCGGCCCACCCGTCTAATATGATATATATCTGGGCCCACCTGTCTATGTGATAACAAGCACCCTTGATATACCCGGCTATTTGATACATATCTACCTTGGTACACCCATCTACATAATATCCAACTACCTCGGCCGATCCGTCTATTGAAAATTCATGTCCATCGGCCCACCCATCTACTTTACATATTCCCCACCTGGGCCAACCCATCTCCATCAGGAATAATAACACTCCCGGCCCATCCGTCACAGTCGAGGATATATCTACCTTCGGCCCATGGTCCGCTGGCCCGTATCATACGGGATATTATGCACGTCCGTTCACTCGTATAATATGGAGATATGTTACTGCAATATGTGCATAGTAGACCTCCAACCCAAGACCCCCATGACCACGAGTTGAAAAATTATGAACTTCAACTTGGCACCATCTTCCAGCAATGAACTTCAAGCTGAAGGTTCATATGTGTTCCCCTCCACACTTCCTCAACGCCCTTATAATCTTTCCGCTGTTGGGACTCCCAGCACTCCCAGCCATCATTCAAGTTCTCCTCCAAGCTCTCCGTCATTAGTTTCTACAATGGGATCAGGTATGAATGACTTATGATCATTTGTCACTGGTGGTTAGATTCAAATATGAAAATAACAGCAGCAGACACTACATCAGATGCAGATGATGATATGTTTCCTCTAACGCCTAATTCCAAGAGTTCATTCAGTGTCGCCAACAATCCGTCTAATGGAGCTGGACCGCATAACTCATGTTGTTCTCCTGAGAGCGAACACCATGATTTTGTTGCTAACAGTCCGTCTAACGGAGCTAGGCTGCAAACTCTAAGTCCTCCTGAGAACGGACACGGCGATCCTCCTCATTACAACACCACGTTCTTTGAAGACCAAAATCTTTTTGATCAATTATCCGGTAGATCTGTCACTTTCAACGATGCATCAGAAGTCATCAGCGAGAAGGTGGGAATTGTTTCAAGCACATCTTCTAGTTCTGATTATATGTGTCACATCTAGGTTAACGATGTGTATGCCAAGATTCTGGGAGAGCTTAGCACAACCTCTCTCCAATACGTTATTCAATACATGGAAGCCGTTCGTGAATGCCACTGCATGCTCTACCACGCTGCATGTTGGGAAGTCTTGGAATATGCAAGGTGGGAAGCTCTCGCCCGCTCCATGCGTGAAAATTCAAAAATAGACTTCTTGAAGGCAGAGCAGGAAGTACGGTTTCTACTGGAAATCTTTGGCCGATGTGACCTGGCATTGTCTTGTCATCCTGTCACAAGTAGGAATTATCCTGCTGATGCCCGCGACAGGAGCAAGGCTTCTATCTGTCGAACCAATGCTATACTCGACATACTAAATGGTGCTAAAGAGATGCGTGCTGTGGATGACTGGTATGTGCTACTTTAGGTATTATTTCTGGTCACTCACATGTTTCCATAGCTTGTCCAGAGCGCAGATGACCGTTCACGAAGAAGTATATCAATTGCATCTTATGTGTTGTACTGTTACAATTCCGAACTCGCCCTCGCAATACCAGTAGTGTTACTGAATCATGTCTGTCTTTGTTGATAGGGAATCATATATCACAGGACGGTTTTTGAAATAACTTATTAGTTACTGGTCTTGTGTTGCATTTTTACACCAGTATGACTCAATGAATCATGGATACTTCGTTGCAGTCTATGGCTTCTGTCTGCTACCGTAACTTACATGGTGCTGGCTTTGTCATAAATCTGCTGAAAATACATTCATGCTACTACTATTAGGTGCAACTTGAAAGGCGTCCAAGTGCTAGTCAGCTCCAAGTGCCATGCGCTTTCTCAAAACGCTTTGGATAGCCGGTATATTCTTCTTCCTTCTGATGGTGTCTTGCAGTGCTCTGGGCTGCTCCTGGGAGAGAACCATGGACAATCGAGGGCTCAGTAGGCACCGCGCATCTTGTCATTTTTTCAAGAAAGCCAGCAGTCTGGCGAGTTGGAAGCGACAAAATCGTGCAAAGGAGGCGTTTATGAACTCTTCCAAAGCAAACACCTCCCAGTCAGCCGCTGTGAGTGACTCTTTTGCTGAATTTCCAGTACTACTAAGGTTCTCTCAACTTTGGCAGGGGGTTGGAATGTCAGTCATCGGACATGTAGTGAGTCACCGTCGAAATCTGAAACCGATTACCCCTTGCAGACTCCTCGGGTCAATTTCTATGGCTTGCGGTTTATGCAGTGCGTCCAGTCTTGTAGATTCACAGCACACCCTTGGCTCGGACTCGACGCAACAAATTGATCAAGTTGATGTTGAGATGGGGAGTGGTTCTGGCACTGACTATGATTCAGGTTCGTGTTCCCTTGAGCAGGCACTCTGGGGTGTTCACCTATTATTCTTAACATTTCAGAGGAATGCAGCGCACTCCCAATGAGACAAATTCTGAGATCTCTCGATAATATTGAGCCTCCACCAGATGATCTCAATCATTCTGATAGTGTGGGCATCCCATCGTTACAAATGGCCTCACTACCCCCCCGATCTAGAATTCGGCATGTTATTTTAACCCTAAGAGACACCCTCAAGACCACCTTCAACTCGTTTGGCCTCTGTCGGCTCTATCCACACCGTCCTTCCTTTGAACCAGATCAGTTGATCCAATCTTCACTTCTCACCAGAATGTCTCCAACAACTACTAGCAGCAGTACCCAAGGGACTGATTCTCCAACAAAGGTCTTCGCACCGCCTTACCCCTTTTCTAATATGTCTATCTACCGGCTTATGTCTTGGATGCATTCTGGGGGCAATCTGTTATCGGAAACTAAAGTCTCGCACCTGGTCAAAGATGTAATTCTGGCGGATGATTTCGACTGCAACGATTTTGAGAACTTCTCTGTGAGGCAGAACTTGCGAGAACTGGATGTGGATGAGAGCAGGAAAAGAGTTACTTTCCCATACGACTGGGTTCAAACTGGCGTCACCATCAATATCCCCACAAAGGCAAGGGAAGACGGCCCTCAACCATATACTATCCATGGATTCCATTATCGACCTCTTGTCGAAGTTATACATGTGGCATTTTCAGACGTGCAAGCTGGGGCATACCATCTTTTTCCTTTCAAATGGTTATGGAAGGACCCTTTGGACGGTCACAAAGAGTGGATTCATGACGAGCTCTACACCTCGGATGCCTGGCTAGAAGCTCAGGACAACATTCAGAGGCAGCCAAAGGTAACTGGGTGTTCACTAGAACGTGTCATCGCTGGTCTGATGTTCTTCTCCGATGCCACTCATCTGGCAAACTTCAGGACTGCCAAGGCCTGGCCGCTGTATATGTATTTTGGAAAATTAACGAAATATGCCCGATCGTCACCCAAGTCAGGGGCATGTCACCTGGTAGGGTTTTACCTTCAGTAAGTTCTCCTCAATTCCGCATGCCCGTCTATTCCTATTAACAATATCAGCTTCCTGACAGTATCAAAGACATTTTGAGTAGCCTATCTCGCATATCGAAAACGGGCATGGCATCTCTTCATGCCCACTGTTGCAGGGAGTTATTTCATTCCTGGTGGGGCATCTTGTTGGATGAGGACTTTCTGTCTGCATACCGCCACGGCATTGTTCTGAAATGTGCCGACGGGGTGGTGCAGAGGGTCTTTCCCCAAATTTTCATGTATTCTGCAGATTATCCTGAAAAGTGTGTTACTCCATTCGCCTTGTCAAAAACATGGAATCACTCATGAATTTATAGGCCCCTGATTGCGACTATCAAAGACATGGGCTTGTGTCCGTGTCCTCGCTGTTTGACACCAAAAAGCATGTTTCATCTTCTTGGGCTTTCAAGGGACATGAAAAGTCGTATCGCCAACCTTCGTGAGTATGTGATGACGAAGGTAGTCAAGGCTCGTGATTTTATCTATGCAAATGGAAATATAGTAGATGGTGTCAAGGTAGACCATACCCTTGGAGAGGGCTCTTGGGTGCCTACTCTGGTAAGTGAGACTACTTTTTTTCTTTATATCAGCTCACACAGTCTACTCGCAGAATCAATTTGCCCAGAAACTTGGACTGCTCAGCTTCGACTCATTCCGCATGCTCGTAGTTGATTTCATGCATGAGTGCAAGCTGGGCACTTGGAAGGCGTTGTTCACACACCTGCTTAGGCTCCTCCACGCCCTTCCTCGCGGTAGTGAACTTGTGGCAGCCCTCGACAGCAGGTACAGGGATCTCGTAAGGGGTGCTGTTGCCTGCTAACAGTCGTCAACCTCGACCTTATCATAGGTTTCGACAGGTCCCGACCTTCGGCAACGGCATGATTTGCAAGTTCTCAAACAACACGTCTGATATGAAAAGATTAGCAGCGCATGATTTCGAGGACATATTACAGGTTTTTCTTTGTTACCCCTAGTTACCTGTCTTTGACCCACTGATAGATCTTCTTTGTCAGTGTGCCATTCCAGTCTTTGACAAGCTGTTTCCCGCTGAGCATGATGTACTTGTACAATCTCTGCTGTATCAATTTGCGGAATGGCATGCACTGGCCAAACTTAGGATGCACTCAAACTCCACAATAAATTTTCTCAAGGAGTCGTTCAGAAGACTGTCTCGGACGTTGCGGAAATTTCAGGACAACACTTGTACGGCTTTCAATACTTTGGAGTTACCCAAAGAACGAGCAGCTCGCCAGCGAAGGGCTGCTCAACACTCTAAAATAAACAGCGGCGGCATTCCAGAGTCCAATGGCTCGAGGACGAAGAGGTTCAACTTGGCCACCTACAAGTTCCACGCCATGGGGGATTACGTGAGAACCATCCGTCTCTTTGGGACCACTGATTCATTCACTACTCAGATCGTAAGTACTGTCTACATTCATGCCATGTACCTAAAGTTAATTCGTGTCAGGGAGAACTTGCTCACCAAGCACTGAAGGCCTTCTATCCGCTGACCAGCAAGCTGGATACCCCAGCGCAGTTGGCCAAACATGAGCATAGGCGCCGTGTACTACGGCGGGTGGCAGAAGTTAGAAGTACACAAGCCAATGCCCCCTCATCAGTGTCCTACGAAAAGCATTACCATATCACGGCTACTCAAAACAACCCAGTCGATATTTTCGCATTTCTCAGAGAAAATAACGGTGATCCTGCCCTTAAGGTAAAGTAACATCTTGTTTTAGCGGTACGGTATAATTTATTCACGGCGACACTCAGAATTTTGCACCAAAACTGAGGGACCACATTATCTATAGGTTGCAGGAGCTAGATGTTAGCTTTTGCGACCACACGTTCACAGATGAGGAACAAAACTCCGTCATCATTCCCAATAACATGATCTACTCCGTCCAAACTATGCAGGTGCACTATACAACTTACGATTTGAGGCGAGAATACGACACGATCAACCCAAGAATGCACGGAGACATTATGGTACTATCAGGAGAGACAAACCCTAGCCACCCCTACTGGTATACCCAGGTATTGGGCATCTACCATGTGGAGGTATGGCTCAGCAATGGGGCTCAACCAGTGAAGCAGCATCTTGAGGTACTCTGGGTAAGATGGCTGGCAGCCATACAGAGCCATAGGTCTGGCAGTAAACATGCACGTCTTCCAAAGATTGCGTTTGTGGAGGAGTCCGACCAGGACACTTTTGGATTCCTTGATCCTGGACAGGTAATCCAGGGGGCACATCTAATTCCTGCATTCGCCGCAGGACGCAGTGTGAGCTCACTGAGCTATGGAAAGTCACTGGCGCGCCCTGGAGGAGAGGTGGATGACTGGGAGGAGTATTATGTTGGGATGTAGGTGTAGATCTTCTATTGACGCATTAACACTCACATTTTGAGCTAGTTTTGTCGACCGTGATATGTTCGTACGGTATACTCACTTTGGTATCGGTCATTCCCCAATACTACGGAAGATCATCAGGGATTGCCTGGGCTCCATATCAGCGGCACTGGCTGATTCTATGGACAATGTGATTGAAAGTAACGAGGACGATGCAGACCGTGAAGAGCCCAGCGATGACAAAGGTCACAAATATGACGATGATCAGGAAGAGGAGGAGGACAATGGTTATGATGAGGAGATTAGCGATGGAGAACTGTCGGATGAGGGGGCTATGGGGGACGATGATGGTGACGGGTGTGACTGGGATGACGAGTGTGATTATGACGATGTCTCTTTCTAAAGCTCCTGTTGTGGGCCATTCATGTTAAGCTAGATTTGCTGGCATCTATGGGTATGTATGTCACAAAATATAATATTTGGCGAGAGAAGAATGATGCTGTCCTATGTTTCCCACGGCTACCATGATATCAAGTTCTCTGATGGTGTTGTGCTAACTTTTTGCACGGTTCCAAGGACAACACACTCGTCTCCATAGCCTCGCATTTGTTCCACATATATGACATATGAGAATGACTATGAAAAGATGAGAGATCTCCAGTCATAGCTTCATGTCCAGGAGTTTAGCGTGCATGGCTGATGTGCCAGGTGAGTTTCTGTTCATTCGGTCTTTCAATGTTCAGGTGATATGTTTGACGTTACATTTCAGAGATTGTGTGATAGCTGCTGTAGAGAGTTGTATGGGCCCAAACTCCACCTCAAGGCATGATATCATGAGGGCATGTTTGGCTTGTGAACACACTGTTGTGTCATCTGCTGTGTGTCTTTCAAGCATACTAGTACTCAATCTGATTTTTACCCATTGGCAATGGATACTTGGATGGTGAGTAATTCTTGCTCATACTACTCACGATCATGGTGAACACCAAATATTAACATATGCGAAGCGATGTTGCCTGGTGCTGCTAGTAGCCAACAGGCCTTATAACTCAATACTGAGTCCTTAAAGGTCAACAGGTCTGTCCCACATAGGATTTCATCCTCAATGGACACAAATTGGAATAAAAAAAGGTTGACAGGTCCCCTCCAGGATCCAGAAAACAGCAATAAAACAACAAAATCAAGCAAAATGAAGTCAAGTCAAAACGAGACCCTGTCCTCGCCCGACACAACACCCCCCAGACAAAGACAGACAAAATCAAGCAATAAAACAGCAATAAAATGACAAAATCAAGCAAAATCAAGCCAAGTCAAAACAAATCCTGTCCTCGCCCAACGCATCACCCCCCAGACAAGAACTAAGATACACATACAACAACCAAGACCAGTCAAGACAAGGGCCGACTCAAAGCAATACAACAGCAAGACCGCAAGAAAACATCAATCAAGACAGATGCAACAACAGAGATAATAGCATACACGTACGCTACTTCCGCATAGCCATACAATGGATGCAATTGCTTACCATCCTAGCAGACAGAATAGCTGGGAAAATGCAGAACACTCGCGGTGCGATTTTTTCTAGTCTCACACACAGTATGTGTCCAAGTTTTTGGTAGTCGCGCAGCCTCATTCTGGCATCAAGATTAGAGTAGATCACCACACCTGAAAACACATGGCAGGTCGATCGTGAGCATACCCAGATGTTTGAAATATTTCAATGTTCTCTCTGACAATTTACTTTGCGTCTTATTCATGACCATCACTCTGAGGTTGACAACATTACTTATCACCGGATATCCCGATGTGGGTATCACAACCTGGCAGGCACATATAAGAAAAGTGCTCAACCAGTATAAGTGAGTCTCAGCTCTGCCTAGCTGCTATACTCGCAGAATGCAAGAACGTTTGACCCTAAAGGGGAAGCAAGGAAAGCAAGGATCCACGGAATGATGCTAATCAACCCTGGTGAATGGCAGTGAAATGCGCTGAAGGTGCGTGCGGGAAAGCGAAGTGCGAAAGTGCACAGAGCGCGGGAAGGTAGTGCAAGCAGTGCACAGGTGTAAAAGATATATACTGAGACTGATAAGAGGAAAAGCGCGGATCTAGACGGATACTGATCGTGCCACTAGCTATAGACTGATGCTAGGGCCTCAAAATGATGATGGACACATGCATTGCATGGAACTAAGTGGTGATAGATACTGAGTGGTAGGAAGCTACGGTGGTAAAGTTCTCGGTGTAAAATGAACATGAGAGTATGTAAGTTCTACCTAAGCGCTCTCCCAGGGCTCGGAGCCGAATAGGGAGCGCTCTAAGTATGTAAGTGAGGTAAAGTGATGTAAAGTAAGGGTCCATGACGAAATAGGAAGTGTAATATGCTAAATATGGTCAGATAATGAAAAGGGACATACCGAGGGACTGGTTGGACGATGGATGGATGCTCCTGGATGATGCGCGATGCAGTGCGCTTAAGCGCGAGAAAGCGCGCAAGGCACGCACGTGGGAATACTGCGCGTTGTGCGGGAAAGTGTCGCGCCTATGGCGCATTTCGCGGGAAGTGGTGCGCTCCATGGTGGAAGTCATAGTGGATGATGGTGTGAGTTGTGCCATGAAGGCCAGTTGCCAGAATTCGTAAAATATGCCCATATGTGCCTGCAGAAACGCAAGTCTCTACACCGACGACGAAGTTATTCAGTCATCCTCAAGGCAGCTTACAAGCCAAGCTCAGTTCCAGTGGCCTGATGCCAGCTCCTCGTCCTCTCCAGGCACAAAAGCCGCGCACGCCGCTTCACTATAGGCCGAATTTAATGAAAGAAATGGGTGTGAGTATCAGCCAAGAAAGATGTTTATCTTGCTGGCTGGGTACATCGAGAAGATGATGAGACTGCAGACATTGTTATGTCCTCTGGGGGTGAGGTATCTTCACTTCAATTTCCTTTGTTTGCTGACATGAAATATGTCAGATTTGTCGTGTCCCTTTGTATGCACTCGCCAAGATGAACACTCCCAAGTTCGATCGTGTCAAAGACAGCGCGAATATTTTACTTTTAAAAGAAGCGAGTGTCATGCATAATCTTTGTCTGAAGTATGGATCTAAAGCTATCCATGTGAGTCCTCTTCTGTCAACAATTTCTTGTGCACATTTGGCATGCTCACCCTACTTAGTACGCCTACTGGAACGCACTGAGGAGACATACTTTAGCTTATTCTTGGTCGCCAAAAACCCATACTAGAACCTGCCACTTTATACAGATGCGATTATATTGCAATATTGTATTAAGCGACAGGATGGGAATCCTCCTCGTATCTTCTTCAAGGTTACCGAGTCTGCATGGGTTGCTAAAGATGGGGGAGAGCACGAAAATCAGAGTATTCTTATAACGTTGGCTATCCTTACATTTCGGTGAGTCATGCAACTAAATCACCATCCACAGTTTGAACAAGGCTTCATCACGCACTACGCAAACACAGTCAAGTATGGCACCGACGGGTGGTTAGAGAAGAATAAGGACCCCTCAACGATAATCTCACGTGTACTGGCGTTATATCGGAACCTCATGTGGCCTCACTCTTCCCAGGTTTTTCTGGTGGCTTGACTCTTCAGGCAAAAAATCACTGAAGACTTGGAAGCAGAGCGCGCGCTTGCCCTCAACAATGATGCCATGTTAGACAGAAGCAAAAGGATGGAAGCAGAACTCGAAAAAGAAATTGTTACCTCATACGCCGACCTCAATGTCCTCAATTTGCAACTAGACCGTGTCCTATCTCTTCAGAAGGAGGGCAACGAGAAACATAAAACATTGTTTGGGACAGAGTGGGGTATTTGGTATAATCACATTGTATGTATCCAGTTCATGGAGCTGCCTAATCTCATTCTCAGTCAGTCCTTTAGAGCCCTTGTCCCTCTTTATCCGTGTGGTCTGATGATACTTGTAAGTCCATTCAGAATTTTATAACTCCTAAATGGCTTACTTGGAAGCACTAACCTCTGAGTCCTAGGAGATACTCAAGCTCCTGCATCTCCATTTCAAAGACCTGGCATTCCCTCACAATCCACAAGACCATCATTGCGCGCACCTCGTCTGGCCAGATCAGAGGCAGCGGATTGGGAAGAAGCGGGTAAGGTGGGTTCATAAAGTTGCTGGCGCACACACATTCGTGCAGCGGCCCAGGTAATGTACAGCAACTCCTTTAAAATGTCAGTGCCATAGCTTTTGAATGAGTTTGACTCACCAGTTGCCTTCCTGTCATCATGAACATGACATTCCTAGGTCTTGGCAAGTGTTGGAGAAATTGTCGAGGGATCTATAGATTCATATTGGTGACTCGCGAGTAGCCAATGTTAAAAATCCTCAACGCACCTGGTGATCTTGGTGTCCATCTCTGTTTCGGTTTCTGACTCCTCCATTAGCATCAGCACAATTGTTCATGGTAATTAGAATGGTAGATGTACTAGTAGGTGATTGAATGGAGAGTGAATAAATCCCTGTCTTCGTCATTGAGTTGAGTTACCGCGTCTAACGCAAACGTCCCAATTTGGAAAGATACTATGTGTCCAGCATTTTCCGGAATGGCATGGTCACTTTGGAACAACGTTAAACAGTTTGTACTTTGTCTTCCTCATGGACCAGCTTGAAGCCTCAATTAAGGGAGACGGCTATGCAGCACTCAGTGTATGGTTTGTGACTTCTTTTTCACATTTAGGCAGCATGCTAATCATCTACATCTTTCCAAGGGTCGTTTAACGCCTATCATCTGCTTCATCTTTAACACTGTCATCTCTTCCGATGGACAATACACCCTTTCTCACATATTGCAGTAACATATCTCCGTATTATACGAGTGGACGGACGTGCATAATATCCCGTATGATACGGGCCAGCGGACCATGGGCCGAGGGTAGATATATCCTCGACTGTGACGGATGGGCTGGGAGTGTTATTATTCCCGATGGAGACGGGTGGGCCCAGGTGGGGAATATGTAAAGTAGATGGGTGGGCCGATGGACATGAATTTTCAATAGACGGATCGGCCGAGGTAGTTGGATATTATGTAGATGGGTGTACCAAGGTAGATATGTATCAAATAGCCGGGTATATCAAGGGTGCTTGTTATCACATAGACAGGTGGGCCCAGATATATATCATATTAGACGGGTGGGCCGACGAATTAATATTATTTTGTAGACGGGTGGGCCGAGGGAGCGGTAAAAGATGTATTATATACAGGTGGGCCGACGGGAGACATATATTGCATAGATGGGTAGGCCGACGTGGGGGTATATAAGATAGACGGGTGGGCCCAGGAGAATGATAATTGTAGACATGATGGAGCTCAGCTAGTTGTATATCATCCAAATCAAAGGAGGTGATTATTCAAAGTCATCTAATGATGTGGTATGGCACGGAGCTTTGCAAAGGGGTGAAGTGGAAACTCGAGCGAAGTGTACCGAGTTCCGAGACCCAGGTCTCGACAAACAAATATGTGATGTCCAGCACACTTCCGATCATCTGGTATCTCATTGAGCAATGGATGATAATAGATCTTTGAAAGCCAACATCATCCAAGCCTACCAAATGCCAAGTTCCGACCACCGAAAATTGAGTGAAGTGTACCAATATCTGAGCCCCAACTATCGAATCCCGAAAATCGACCATCGAGTCCCGACTATTGAGTCCCGACTACCGAGTCATGAAACCCGACGCCTGACCATTGAATCCCGACAATCGAGTATCGAGTCCCAACCAACGAGTCCCGTATATCGAGTCCCGACCATCAAGACCCGAGACCCGATGCCTGATGCCCGAGACCCGATGCCCGAGACCCGAGACCCGGGATTCGAGACAAGTTCCAACTATGGTGTCCCGGGTATCAAAATCGAGTGAAGTGTACCGAGATCCGAGGCCCGGGTCTCGACAAACGAGTATCTGACATCCAACAGACTTCCAATCATGTGGTATTTCATTGAGCAATAGATGATAAGAGAAATAGATCTTTGAAAGCTCAGATCATCCAAGGCTCCCTTATCTGATCCTCTCAATCTCCACCCCCTTTAACACCAAAGTGCGGACATTCAGGATTCAGCTTCTGATCTCACAAGATCAATTCAATCATGGATGTTTCTTCCACTTCCGATGATGAAATAACCCTCTTGCACACTTGGGCCCTGACTGTCACTCATGTGGCATGTGATTATACGGAACAGAAATTCAATGCAGAGAAGACAGGAGGAGACCCAGTTATACCTTCTCCAAACCTAGACACTGATCTGGTGATGGCTTGTGATCAATTGGTTGATCGGCTCATAAAGGCATATAAAAATCCCAGTGAGTCTTCCTGCAGATTCGGAAAATTCATTTTATCAGTCAAATTGCTTCATCACAGTTCAGATGCCGATTGATATTGCAAGATATAGCAAATTGATCTCCCCAAAGGACACGGGGCGTAATGAAGAGAGAGAGGAAAAGTTGCTTGAGAGGTGTCCTCCTGGCCATGAGGGCACAAAGTTGATCGACATACCCGCGACAATTCTTGATGCATCCGGTGCCATCATCGCATGGTACCTCCCAGACGCCTTGACCGATGCCACCCAGGTGTGTTATATATATTGTGACTGGATGGATATTGAACATCAAATGGTACGTACAGAATGAAATTTGGGCGGCCTCGGATTTGCTAGCTCCCATGCTCGAACAAAGCATAAAGCTCGATGGGATTTGGCGGACTAATCAACAGTGGTTCACACCAAGCTCGGAAAATGATGTCCTAACTCCCGGATGCGTTAATTTATCTCCGGCATGGTTTCAGCAGGGGCACGAGGTAGGATCTGATGAGATGGCGATCTCGGTAGTTAAACTCACCAATCCCATAGAATCAGTCCGATCCGGAGGTATCTGCATCATTGAAGGGACCATCCTCCGAGAACATCCTCAAAGCCATTGCGAGGCCAGCAGCCATTGCCACAGCGGCACTCAGGGTGATGCATCCTGAGCAGTACTGGGCAGGGTTGCAAGCCTTTGTGAGCCTCGGAGAAAAGGCACGAAGCAAGGAGCTGCCGAAGATGTCAGAGACTCTCCAGTACTGGGCAACGGTGTTTAACAGCCTCACCATCATATGCAATCGGGAAACCCCGAATCATCGAGACCCCTCATCGATTTCCGAATGCTTCGATATTCTCACTAGCGTGGGGAATTATTCTAATGCTCGGATGAGTATGCCAAGCCTGCAGCTGGAGTTAAGGTACGATCCGGGGTGCATGATTGCATTTTCGGGAAGGATTGTCAGACACGCGGTGCATGCAGTGGAAGGGGATCGGATTGCCTGGGCATGGTATATGAGGGATGCTGTTCATGTTTATGCTGGGATTCCGTCGTGTGGATGGGCAAGGTTGGATTGGAAGAAGTAGAAAGGTAGTTACCTGTGTTAGTACCCACCTTCAAATACATGATACTAGATGTCAGGCACTCCATACTCAACATTCGGGTTTCGGGTCTTGATAGTCGGGACTCGATATTCGATTTCACCGACTACCGAGTACCGGGTTTCGGGTTTTGGTACACGGTACCCGGTACTTGATAGTCGGGACTCGATATTCGATTTCACCGACTACCGAGTACCAGGTTTCGGTACACGGTACCCGGTACTTGATAGTCGGGACTCGATATTCGATTTCACCTGACTACCGAGTACCGGGTTTCGGGGTTCGGTACACGGTACCCGGTACTCGGTGATTCAAGAAAACAACTCCCAAAATTGATGAGTGTCATGTTTTGAGTTTTGTTTCGATTTGTTTTGAGTGTCGAATCTCGGGCTTCGGGCTTCGTGTTTCGGGTCTCGATAATAGGGACTCGATACTCGATGGTCGGCACTCACATCTCGGGCTTCGGGAGTCGATTGTCGGGACTCGGGTTTCAAGACTCGGTAGTTGGGACTCGATAGTGCGGATTCGGGTTTCAAGACTCGGTACCCGGTACTCGGGTTTCGGTACTCGGTGATTCAAGAAAGTGTCGTGGTGTTTGGAGTTTTGATTTGTTTCGTGTCGAATCTCGGGCTTCGGGCTGCTTGGGTTTTGGGTCTCGATATTGGGGACTCGATACTCGATGGTCGGCACTCAAATCTCGGGCTTCGGGAGTCGATTGTCAGGACTCGGGTTTCAAGACTCGATTGTCGGGACTCGATGGTTGGGACTCGATGGTTGGGACTCGATAGTCGGGCTGTGGGACTCGATTGTCAGGACTCGGTGGGGACTCAAAACTCGCAACTCATAGCAATGTTCGAGTTTCAAGTCTCGTCTCGAATCTTGGGCTTCGGGACTGGATATCCGGGACTCTATGTTTGGGACTCAATATTTGGAACTCAAGATATCTGGATCTCGATGCTCGATATTTGGTATGCAGGACTCAGCATATAGCAATAGGTCAGATATTCGAAAGTCAGTATGTAATTTTCAGTACTTATTTCATCATGTACAGAATTTAGACATCAACATTCTGAACTGAAGGACTAGAACTACTCTGGTCCCCTTGGGTTCAATTTGGTTAGGACGGCGGTGTACATCTGAATCTCTGCCATCTTTTCACGGATGCCAGCTTGTTGATCCTCAATCACTGTCAGGAGGCGTTCCCTCATCCACCTCAGTGCCTTCAGCGTTGCAACCGAGCTTTCATCCACCTGCTCGGGAACAACAAGACGTTCGTCCTCAACGCCAGACTAGAAAGGATTAGTCATCACTCAAGGAAATTCTGTAAAAGTCTTACTAGCCAATGCTGGTAGTGACAGACACAATTAGCGAATACCTGATCCCATGGCCATAATTCGTTCGGGATGGCAGTTGATCCGGTCCACCATGGAGTACCATAGGTGGATACAATGCGGGAGGGATCCCCCAGATCTGCAACGTCTTGAAACTGGCATAGGTGGGATGAAAAGATGTGGTCCGGAACCATGTTCCAGGTGAGCTCCGGAATCAACTGAAGAATATGAGCAACCGGGCTCGGAACAACCGAAATGATGTTCCTTGCAGCTGAGTACTGCAGGATGGGAGTCACAAAAGTCTGTTGGAAATGTCAGCATCGACCACCACAGTCATCAGCCTCTTACAGCTATCTCCCATTGCAGCCCGGCTTTAAAGTGCGTGATCCGAGTAGCAGATGGCTCCTGGGTGTGGGCAGCCTCCATCTGATATTGAGAGATGGACGCTCGGATGCGAGATGCAGCCATTGACATTGTAGCTGCAATATCTGCCTGAGTGAGTGTGAGGGGTCGGAACCCATTGCTGGAAGTCTGAGAATTAGAAGGGGATGTTGGGGGAGTATGCAATACAGACATGGTTAATGCAGGATTATGAAGCTGGAAATGACAAGCAGATGGTAGATCTTCAGGCTCAAGCTGGTCTTCCGGTTCGTCTTCTTCGAACAAGTCCCACCTATCCGTAAGTACCGGACATTGTTTGCCCTCATGACCGAGGTGTATGACGAGTCCGACGTGAGCGAGACAACTTTGCTCAAAGAATTGACCATTCCATTGACTGATCCAATGGAAGGGATTGCAAAGATGTTGACTTCTGCAACAGCCAGTGCAATAGAGTGGCTCCCCAAGACAATCTTGACATTTGTAGACCCCATCCTGGTCGCAGACGACGCATCTCCTATCTTCTGGTGGAGCTTCTCGATCCAGGAGGTGATGCAGATATGATTTCTGCCTTGGCAGCCATTGCCTGAGGTAGTCATTCTGACTCTGGATTTGTTATACTTAGCTATCATTTGAATTGCAATGCAACATTTTACATGAACTTGCCATGGTTTTTGGGAGTTGCAAAGGCTCAAATGAGCCTTGGTCTTGCTTGTAAGTATTATCAGGAATGTCTTCCCAAAGAGGTGGTGCCTCAACAGGCCGAAGTGTTGGTGATTCTGGGGGAGAGCTAGGCATGGACCTGTATGCACGTCTTTTTGTGCTTGCAAGTGGGACCTTGACCCAAATTTTCCTACCTCTGCTTCCCCTTGCTTCTACCCTGTGGGATCTTTGCAGTGGGGTGCATCTACCTATCTTCATGTTATTTTCTAAGGCTGCAAGCAAAGCACGAGCTCAGGAATGCGAATAAATTGTTATTGCAATGTGATCTTATGCGGGCTTGATGCGTCATTACAAATTCATTTCCAATAATGGAATTGCGTCCACTATGGGTCGATTAACCAACTGTTAGGCTTTGCTCAAAGTTGAACTTGTCACCGTTATTACTTCCACCTTGCTCATCCTCAGCCCTTTCTGCAATCTCATTCACAATGGCAAGATCAGGTCATTCCACTCAGTTGACTTCCACTTCTGGAAGACATAGGGCGCGTCAACCACAGACACAGAAGCTCACGGATAACGAAATTTCGGAGTTGAAGAACTACCTTCCTGAGTGGACTTCGGCGAAAAGGATTGAGAAGAGGGCAGTTTTCACTGCCATAGCTAGGGCTGCCAGGCTATTTGCTCCCAAGGTCGACCAAGCACAATGGAAGAAGAGGAAGCAGGTGATTCATCCTTGCTTCATTCAAAACTAAAATTTTAACATCTTATTCTTCCATGAACTCTCAGATGTACAAGACATGGTTGTTCAACAACCAGAAAAAGAAGGAGAGGAAGGACATGATAAAGTATGGGAGGAAATGGACTCCTAGGCAGGTGATCTACCAGCAGAAACGGGAGGAGGTGCTGAAGAGGATTGAGGACGAGTCCGGGGCAAAGCCAGGAGGTCCCGGTATGTTCAAGCATTATCAGGCGGCTGTAAAAAGAGTCATGGCTGAATTGTCCGATGATGAGTTGGAGAAGGCGAAAGACACGGCTGAAGAATGGTCCAGCAACTTTCCTCCTCCCGAGATACAAGCACAAGTGGCTTGTAAGAAGGGACCGGCGTATATGGAGCACTTTTCGAAGGAGATGTGGAGGCAATGCGGGATGAGAGTGTTTGTGATGTCGGCATGGAAGAATGAACAGGGAGAGGTGCTGTTCGGGATGTAAGTCAATTTTGTCATCGCAGATCTTCGATCTCAATACATTTCATGCAGGCACGATGATAACGAGGCATTAGGAGATGGGGAAAGTTTCATGAAGACGAAGGACTGGGAGGACATCGAGCCAGTTTGGCAGGAGTACGCGCAGGAACAATTCGGTGAGTGTTTGATCTCTGGCTACTGGAATGAATTGGTTGATCTTTGTCATGATAGGTGCTGGGGCACGAGATGGTGGGCGACAGGTGAATGGAGGTCGAAAGAGAATCAGGAAGCCTGCTTTCGAACTCGAAATTGATGGGGATGGGATGCCGGTGCTTCCTGACATCACCGAGACGAAACTCGAGGAGAAGAAAGCCATCGTCAGAGCATTTCTCACATCGCACTATCGTGAGTCCGTCGTCGCAACACCCAAACATTTGTTGAATGCATTTATACAGGTATCTGTTCTGGGATTGTCAAGGCAGTTGTGCCATGGAGCGCCATCGTACAAAGTCAGGATGACTTTGTGGCAAGAACGTATCTTCCGGCGGATGTGGACTTGAAGGAGCCTTCGAAGTTGCAACATTGGGACACGACCGCCTTACTGAATTTCTGGTATGCTCGGCAGGAGAAAGGCGAAGGTCCAACATTCCTGTTCAAAGCATGGAGGAACAGAGATGGGGACATGGTAGCCTCGGTTGTATCCGGAAATTCACCTTCTCATCGGACTCGTAATGCCAGACGAGTTATGATCCGAAGGCCTCGGAATTCATCGACCGAAACTGACAGTGATCCCGAGGCCAATCACGAGAGTGATCCAGAGAGCAATCCCGAGGACGACACTCATCACATGGAGGATGATGCTGATGATGACACAGAGGAAGGTAGATCCCCGCAAAAGAGACCCAGAACAGAGCCTGGTCCTTCGACAGCACATGAAGGGACAGCGGTCCCACATGCAATTCCAAAGCCTCGCCCGGTCAATGCAGGGAAGACTGGTGCACTGCTGACATCGCGAATGGGCGACCTCCTGACTGGGCTGACTGCGAGAGTCACTCGCAATGTTCAGGAGGATGGTGCAACAGAACGAGTCAATAGGTCGCCGGCGCTGAAGAACATGCGGGGAAAGAAAGCGGTGATTGAGCCATCGGCGAGGACAACCCGGAGTAAGTCAACACAGCAGCCATTGGACACAAGCACTCGAGTGACGAGAGCAAGGGGAAAGAAGTAATGGGCTGATACTACACTGCCTGCCATTACCTGCTTGTATTTACATGTCAATGTGTAACTTTCATATATCAGACCTAATATGATATGCAGAGTCCCCACTAGTCAATATCGATTATTGAGTCCCGACTATTGAGTCACAAACATTGAATCCCGACTATCGAACCTCGAGTCCCGAACCCCGAGATTCGTCAAACACCGAGTCCCGACTATTGAGCATCGAGTCCCGAGCATCGAACATCGAGTCCCGAAAATCGAGTGCCGAGTGTTGAGTCCCGATTATCGACTCCCGAATATCAAACATCAAGTCCCGACTATCGAGTCCCGAGTGTTGAGTCCCAATTATCGAATCCCGACCATCGTGTATCGAGTCCCGTTCGACACCCGGGGACATGTATTGAAAAATTCGGTAGTGTACATGATGTGGGGATGTCAATGAAAATTCACAGGTTGCAATGCAGTAATTTACATGGTCAGTTGTTCTTCAAAGTGTTCAATCATGGAATCTACTACCCTGAGCATTTCAATGCTCATCTGTTCAACTCTTTGCAACCTCTGCAGGTCTGCATCAGCTTTTTTCAGTTTGTCGGATGTTTCTGCCCAAGCAGTTCGGAATGGACGCTCGGCCTCGATTAGTTGTTGGATGGAAGGGTCAGGAAGACCTCCAGTACGGCGTTTGTACTCATGGAGTCGATCTTGGACGGATTGGTCTTCCAGAAAGATTAGCTCAAAGATAACTGCTCTGCTTTCAGATACTCACATTCTGGGTGTTGGTATTTTCCGAAAGGATGGAGCTCCCGGACCATCAACCGTACATCCTCGATATTGAGCTCCGGCTGGTCTGCAGGGAGTTCGGTAGATGATTTGTCGGCTTGGGAGATAAGATCAGTCTCCATAATGGTCCAGAATGAATGGACCCACATGAAATAGACACCTCTGAGGTAGCCGGAGCAAAAGTGGGAGGATCAGCAGAGTCCAGCAACTCATCAACATCAATGACATCATCCTCAGGCCCGAGGTACAAGTCTGGATCAATGAGACAGCTGGCATCATCAGCTTGACCCGGATGTGATTGATCTTCAAGGGTGAAGTTAGCATGCATGGTGATCCCAGGTCATCAGTAATGTATAGTCATACCGGGTATTGCAGCCGACGCATCCGGGGGTCCGGATGACATAGAATCATATTCTATGTCATCATCCGGCCCGAGGTATAAGTCATCTAAGTCATCTAAGGGATACCCGGTGAATAGATAAGGCATGATAAGAATACAACATACCTAGTGATGCCCGGCCCATAGATGAGTCATCCACATCCATAGAATTATGGTCAGGTCACCGGTGGGTCATTAAATCTAACTGGCTGGATGGGCACTCATGTGTGGAGAATTGGTGGACTGATTGACTGATGATCTAAAAAACTTCGAAGTTCGACACAAAGCCGGCAATTGCCGAAAGTTGAACAACGACCAAACAAACACAAACAATAAACGATTTTGTGGATCGCCCATCAAATGTCTTGTTTGTTTGAAACTTCATCTTTCTGATAACTGATTTCAATCTGATTTCAAGATCTTTAAATCTCTCAACCCACTCATCATGTCCACTCCAGTTGACAACTCTTTGACCCATCTCAAGGCATCCGCTGCCCAGATCATGGCCATCATCAGTGCCGCCCGGCAGATTCCCCCGGGTCCCAGCCACTCGGCTTTGGGAAAACAGGTTGCTACACTTGTGGTATGTATTTTGTTTGGGTGCTTTTTCTTCTCTAACATCTTGGTAGTCTGATGTAGCCAAGGAGTATGGGTCCGGGGATGGTCCTATTCCCGGCCTCATCATTTCGTGCTCCAAAGAGCTCCAGCGCATCCGCAACATGGTTCCCAAGGTCTGGCCAGACTGGCACTCCATCGGGTATGACGATCCTCGCATTCTGAGGCACGCCTGGTACCCCAAGGTCCTCGCCTGGAACGCCTTAGGCGACCAGACCTTCGATCTCCCAACTGCTGCCCCCCCATCCACAGGTCCGATTCCTGTCAACCTTCCCTCCCCAGCCATCCCTGCCGGCAATGTCGCCGGCCCTTCCACCAACCCCACCACCGAGTCCTGGGACAAGGGGAAAGGTAAGGCCGTCTTCGCTGACCCAGACCCCGAGGCAGAAGGGAGTAAGAAGAGGAAGTCCCCCTTGATTTCTGGACCCTCCTCCCAACCCCCGAAATCCGCGATGAAGAGTCACAAGCGTCAGAGGTCTGCTCGCGTTGTGAAGTCCAAGGCCATCGTGGAGTCGGAAGATGATGAAGACTCGGTTATGCAGGTATGTCGTCTTGTTCATTTTTTCATTGTCTCTCATTTTCGTGTAGCCACCTTTGGGTGGAGTGCCGGAGGTCGTCCTTCCCCGGCTCTCCACAATTGTTGCAAGGACGCCTAATTCACCTCGCTCGCCCCGGGTACCCAAGAAGAAGCCCTTTGGCCCTGCCACAGTAAGTGTCATTTATGCGTCCGGGACTCGGGTGTGTGCTTACATTATACCAGGTGATTGCCGGCAGTCACGCAGCAGTTGTGGAGCCCTCCCAGCCCACTCCCGAACCTCCGGTGCAGGCACCCCCAGTCATCCCTGCAGTTGACATTCTCATTCCCGGACCGGTGAGTACTTTGAAATATCTCAAGTGTCCATACACAAATACAACCAACAGAACAACCCATGCTATGCTTGCCACAAGCACAACTGGCCTTGCGCAACTCGGCCGGACAAGAGGACCGGGGCTCCATGTATGTCGTGCGTCTACTGCACAACAAAGAAGATCAAGTGCACCCCCGCGACTATGGGATCCCCGCCTCCTCGCGATCGTTCTTCCTCTACTACCCGGAAGACGAGGTCCAGAACACCATCCAGGGCTTCCTCCAAGACTCCCTCCAAGGCTCCCCCCGCATCCCAAACTCCCGCCCCCTCCAAAGCTTCCCCTGCCTCCCAGTCCAGGGCCCGAACTCGCAGTCAGTCTCGTGGCCCGGCCGGAACTTCTGGTGTCACTGCTGTGACCACTCCCAAGACCCAGACGCGTGGTCGCAGCAAGACTATCACTGCCGTCAAGGCACCTGCACCTGCACCTGCACCTGCACCTGCACCTGCACCTGCACCCGCACCTGCACCAGCTCGTAAGTCACCCGAGTTTTTCATCACCGTCTGACCTTCATTTTCCCTTGTAGCCCTTCCGTCTTCCAGGTCGGCAGTCCCTGCTGCAGCACTTGGGGTGCCCATGCCAGATCTCCATGCCATGTCCATTGCGATTCGAGATGGCGCAGCTCGAATTGCTCTTCTGGAGGCTCGTGTGGCAGAGCAGGATGGTAAGATTGACACCCTGCAACGCCTTCATGAAGGCCTTAGGCGCGAAATCATCGACCGGCACCCCTCATTCCCACTTCCCGACACTCCTGCCCCTGCAACATCCTTGTTGCTTGATCAATCCGGCCCCCCCACCATGTCACCCCCAGAATCCGCACTCCCTCCTCTGATTGATCTCAGTATGGAAACAATGGCTCCCACACCCGCAGCCCCGACATTCCCGGATGCCTCTGCCATTGAGGGTCTCCTGTTCGACTACAACCAAGTTTTTCATCCAGGGGATCCAGATGCGTCTGGCGAAATTGTGGACCCAGGTGATCCAAGCAACCTTGTCCCAGAATATGACTCTTCCAGCAACATGGATGTTGAGGTGGAGGTGAAGGTTGAAGAGTCTTCTGTGGAGGTTGACATGGCTACATAATTGCATAGTGATAGATGTATATACAAGTTTTCAATGAATGTAACCTCTGCCAGTCCATTGATTGAGTCACTGAGTTCCGAGTCCCGAGTCCCGAGACCCGGAATTCGGCACTCGGCACTTGAGACGACAGATTTGAAACTTGAAACTTGAAACTCGAAAGCACTTGAATCTCGGGTCTCGGTACTCGGTATTCGGTACTCGACACGATGCTCAAAACTCAAAACTGTTTCGAATCACCGAGTACTGACTACCGAGTACATCTCGGGTCTCGGCACTCGGTAGTCAGTACTCAGTGATTCGAAACAGTTTTGAGTTTTGAGCATCGTGTCGAGTACCGAATACCGAGTACCGAGACCCGAGATTCGGTACTCGGTACTCGGTACTCGGTAGTCAGTACTCGGTGATTCGAAACAGTTTTATGAGTTTTGAGCATTGTGTTGAGTACCGAATACCGAGTACCGAGTCCCGAGATTCGGTACTCGGTACTCGGTAGTCAGTACTCAGTGATTTGAAACAGTTTTACAAGTTTCGAGCATTGTGTCGAGTACCGAATACCGAGTACCGAGTCCCGAGATTCGGTACTCGGTACTTGGTATTCGGTAGTCAGTACTTTCGAGTTTCGAATTTTGAGTTTTGTTTCCAATCTTTTGTCTCGCATGCCGAGTGCCGAATTCCGGGTGTCGGGTGTCAGTACTCGGTTCTCAGTACTCGGTACTCGGTGATTCGAGTCTCGAGACTTGTGACTCGTGATTTACAAATCGACATTTGAAACTTGTGATTTCTGAGAACAATGTGTATTATCTTATGTATTTCTGTACTCATTTCACCGACTACCGAGTGCCGAATCTCGGGTCTCGGGTCTCGGTATTTCAAGACAACAAAAATGTATATCATCTTAAATTTGAATTTTCTTAACTCGAGCCTCGAAACTCGTAAAAATGTACAATACCTAGGCCTATCTGTCTATATGATATGTATCTGGGCCCACCCATCTATCTAATACATAATTCACCTCACCCTTGGCCCACCCGTCTATCTAATATTACCCGACGTCGGCCCACCCATCTATGTAGAATTCCCCACGTCGGCCCACCCGTCTATCTAATATGACCCCACGTTGGCCCACCCGTCTATGTAATAAATAATTCCGCTCACCCTCGGCCCACCCGTCTATCTAATATTACCCGACGTCGGCCCACCCATCTATGTAGAATTCCCCACGTCGGCACACCCGTCTATCTAATATGACCCCATGTCGGCCCACCCGTCTATGTAATAAATAATTCCACTCACCCTCGGCCCACCCGTCTATCTGATATTACCCCACGTCGGCCCACCCGTCTATCTAATAAATAACTCACCTCACCCTCAGCCCACCCGTCTATCTAATATTACCCCACATCGGCCAACCCGTCTATGTAATAAATAATTCCCCTCACCCTCGGCCCACCCGTCTATCTGATATTACCCCACGTCGGCCCACCCGTCTATCTAATAAATATTTCACCGCTCCCTCGGCCCATCCGTCTACAAAATAATACTAATACGTCGGCCCACACGTCTATATAATACTATTTGCTATACATCTCTCCTCAGGTCTATAATATATGTCAATCCTACTCTACATATTACCCACATGGGCCCACCCATCTCCATAATAATATTTCTCCCGGCCCATCCGCTATCGTCGATGATATATATAACATCAGCATAGATGGGCCCACCCGTCTCCATCGGAAATAATATGCCTCCCGGCCCACCCGTCAACATTGGGAATATACATAACATCGGCCCATAATCCGCTGGCCCGTATTACACGGGATATTATGTAGGTCGGGTGACCCGTATAATACGGGATTTGTCACTGAAGGGGCTCCCCTTTCTTCCTCTTGGGACCACACCTTGCGTCTCTGGGATCTGAACACTGACCAGACCACTCGCAGATTTGTTGGCCACACCTCCGATGTCTTTATCTGTCAGCTTCAGCACAGACAACAGACATTGTTTCTGGTTCACGACCAAACAATCAAACTTTGGAACACTGGAACACCCTTGAAGAGTGCAAGAATGATATCAAGGATGATGGTCACACAGTGGTATGTGGGAGTCCTGCATAAATAGAAGATCGCACCCTGACAATATGATCCAGGATGTCATGCGTGTGTTTCAGCCCCAATGTCATGTTATTGTATCCTGTGGATGGGACAAGGTTGTAAAGGTGAGCATTCCTCAAGATTCATATCTTTAGCCATCCTAGTCTAGTGACGTTATATCTAGCTTATCGGTGTGATCCTTACTAGGACGAGCTCAAGCCCAGCTTCACTGACGTTGGTCCCAACTCACTTGGAACCCGAGTGTATCGATCGCATGGTCAACAGATGGTCAGACGTTGTTCAGTGGATGTGTTCGTGCCCAACTGCTACCGGCTATATACTGCCACTGCCAGCTGCGCTGAAATCTTTGACTTTGAGAGCAAGTACATACTTTCAAATTTTGTTATGATATCTAACTTATTCAAGTTGGCGCTATCCCTAGGATGAGCTCTAGCCCAGCTTCACTGACGTTGATTCTGACTCACAGGGACCCGAGTGTGTGTTGACCACATGGTCAGCAGATGGTTAGACGTTGCTCGGCGGATTTGTTCTCGCCCAACCGCTACTGGCTACCGTGACATGCTGCCACTGTGATCGTTCTTGTTTCACAATGGGGAGATGAAGGCAAAGGCAAGCTAGTCGATATCCTATTGGCTGACTTCGATGTCTGTGCGCAATGCACAGGCGGTAATAATGCCGGGCACACAATTGTTGTGCCTGTTGGACCGGAGAAGGTGAAGACTACCTTTGCTTTCCATCTTCTCCCAAGCAGTTTGTGATCAGTTCATGGTAACCTTTTGTATGGCACTGATCTATTCATTCCGTAGGTCTTGTAAACCCAACATGTGTGGGCCTGATTGGTTCTGGAGTTGTTGTTCATGTGCCTTCCTTTTTCAATGAGCTCGACGCCTTGGAACAGCAAGGTAGGGTTTAACATGGTCGAATGTGCTTTAGTGATGACATGTTTACGCAGGCCTGAGCTGCTCAAATAGAATATTTCTTTCAGATAGAGCTCATCTCGTGTTTGACTCCCACCAAATTGTAGACGGCCTGAAGGAAGTGGAGCTCGGTGGATCCAGGTATGAACCTTCACATGATTCTTACAATTCTTATTATTAACAACCTACAGCATCGGAACCACAAAGAAAGGAATAGGCCCGGCTTACTCCAGGAAAGCCTCTCGTTCAGGCCTCCGAGTGCATCACCTTTTGATCATGATACCTTTGCGCAAAAGTTTCGCAAGATTGTGGAGGGTTGTTTCAAGCGTTATGGTCATTTCGAATATGATACAGAGGACGAGATTGTGTGCTATAAGGTCATATCTTTCATGCTTTCCCTGTTAAATATCGTCGCTGAACATGATGTAGGTTCTTGTACAGCGACTAAAGCCTTTCATTGTCGCTAGTGTACAGTATATTCATTGCACACTGCCAGTGCGCAAGAAGGTCCTCGTTGAAGGTGCAAATGCACTCATGCTTGACCTGGATTTTGGGACGTATCCCTACGTCACCTCATCGTCCACCACAATTGGCGGTGTGTGCACTGGTCCTGGCATACCTCCTAAAGCGATTGGGCACACCATTGGAGTTATCAAGGCATATACCACTCAGGTTGGAGGAGGACCGTTTCCGACTGAGCAGCTTGACGTTGGTCTTCTTGTAAACAATATATTTATGTATTCACATATTTTCAGCACATTGGCGTCCACTTTCAAGAAGTTGGAAAGGAGTATGGCACTACCACAGGCCGGAGGAGATGTTGCGGCTGGCTGGATCTCGTCATCTAGCTCATCGGTGCGATTCCTAGGACGAGCTCAAGCCCAGCTTCACTGACGTTGATCCCAACTCACAGGGATCCAAGTGTGTCAATCGCATGGTCAGCAGACGGGCAGACGTCGTTCGGTGGACTTACTGACAACCTTGTTTGTGTCTGGACTATCACTTCTTAAAATCCTCTTGGGGAGTCACTTGCATGGTGGACTCGGAGGACACAGAAGGTTACCCTATGCATCGTTTTTACTGTAGCTGGCTGCTTGCATCTCAGAAAAACACTGGATCTCTCAATTCCTGGTAGAATCTATGACTTAATGAACATTCACAAAACCTCTAGAGTCTCAGCTTCCTGCATGTTTCGTTGACATTCTACATAACCTCAGCAATCCAAGCCTCCCAGGCTGAAGTTGATCTTCATCCGAGTTGCGCCAGAAGACAGGTTTACTTGTGGTTTGCAGATGCTGATATATCCTAGCTCTCCAGCTATCCAAGTCGTCCCTGCAATGATAATTAGCACTGGCCAACTTGAAGTGTAGTTATTTCATCCAGCTCCTTGACACTTCAACTTAATCTATGCCTTCCACGACATACCTTATCCCCCCGAAACGGACACTATACTCGCGCCACACAAATGTGCGATACAGCTCCTCATCAGCCTGCCTTGCCTCAAGGATATCTAATCTAATATTTGCCTGTCCATCGCCATCTACAGCAGCAAGGAAAGCAGTAAGTGTAGTTGATGCACACTCGCTGTTTGGAAGCAGTGGTGCAGCATTTTCATGGTGCCCTGAAAAAGGCTTATATAGTCTTAATTTAAGGCATGAGAAATGAGAGTGTTTAAAAAGCAGGGCACACCTGCGCTATGCTCCGTGCTGGCGGTGACGGTGCAACCGTCATCACATTTTAGTCGAATGCAGAAGCCAGGGACTTGTTTAAGTCTTGAATATCATTATAGTTGGAACCATCAGGAAGGAAAACAAGAACACTCGATAAGGTTGAGACAAGTATCCTTCCGTCCCTTGCGGGCTGTAATGGTCCAGTAGAACAGTATTGTCATAAGTGCCCCTTCTAATCCGATCTTATAATCAGTGTCAAACCAACTTTTGGTCAGAAAGTCTTAAAATGCATTGTATTTCAAGATATAAATGATGCAAAACGAGAATGCTCAACAAGGTTTACACAAGTATTCTAATGTCCCATGCTGGCTACAATGGTACAGAGTCACAACCAAGTCGCGAACTCTCATGCAGACCTAGATTGGATGATGAGTGCCAATGGCACTTATCACAAAAAAGTCTTGAATTACCTTGTAGTTCAAAACATCAATAAGGTATATGGGATTGCTCAACAGGTAGGACCTAATTAAGCTATCATACCTGGCTGGTCCTGATGGCGCAACGTCGTGACCTTGTCAGGAACTCCTAGTGGTAATTTAAATTTGTAGAACATCCATGGCTATGTACCAACAACGCAAGTTGCTCGCAGCATACATAGCGATATCTAGCAGGAGCAGAATGATATCCTTCTATAGTTCCCACGACTACCATATCGAATTCACTGATGCAAGCACATCACACATTTCTCCATCACAATCGAGGGAGGGAATAGCACATCTACCCATGACTTTATATCATAATGTCATGACAGCCTGTGCTCGCTGGTCACCGAGAACGCAAACTGGACATTCCCGATGGATGTATCATGTCATCGAGTTCGAAGGTTGCTTTTCTGCAGACAGCCAGGTCTTCTCAGAAATCTTGTTCACCGGCCACCAGCTGGAGTCACTGACATTTTCAGGAGTTCTTGAATGCACTCCATCAACGATGTTCTGCCTGTATAGGTCCTCGCTTCCGTTTCTGATGCACTTTGCTCTCAAGATTGTCAGTCTGCATCGGCATGTCATGGACAGGAACCTCATGCCTCCTATCTCAGAATTCTTGAGAGATCACAAACATCTTCATTCCTCCCACCTCATCGTGCTTAGCGCAGACCATTGTCGCATTGCTTTTGACGCGTCTGCCTGGGGTGTATTACCTTCTCTAATAAACCTCTGCAGTCTTTGTATCACTTATCCTAGGGATCTTTCTCTTTCGCTAGCAGGGTGGCTTATTCCGCGGAGTGTTCGTGCGCTCACCATGGAGATTGTGGTACCGCCTGTAGAGGACCTTCTTTTTTGCATAAATGTGAGTTGAGGATTCCTGTCATTGACAAGAACCAGCAACATTGTAGTGCTGCCGTGGTCCGGTTTGGTCCGGTTCAAAGAGGGTCGAACGAGAACCGAGAACTGGACCTAGGTCTGGTTCTAGCAGACTCGACGAACCTCAAACTGGACCTTTGCGAATGGTTCAGAATGGTCCGGTCCGGTCATTTTCAGGTTTGAACGTGAACTGAACTCAAAATTTTATACAGCGAGACAAAAAAACATATGCAGGACTTGTACTCATAGCTAACCATCCAACACCACAGCTGCTTCTGCCTCAACCATTGCAGAAATATGGCCATTCCTATACGCCGCCTTCAACAACTGTAGCGAGCTGAATGTGGATGTTCTGAGTGCATTGCATCGTACAGTAGAAGTGATCCCACCGCTCGAGAAAGCCTGTTCAGAGGGAACAGCGCTGCCTTGAATCGGCAAATAGTCTCGTGCGATGTGTGCGAGGGTAGGGTACTGTAGTGAGTGAAGCTAGTAAATAGATTTAGTACTGAAAAACGAATCAAAAAGATTACTTACTCCCCACCATGCAACGATGTCCTCAGCCTCCTCTAGTGGTGCAGACAGGTACATGGTGAGTTCTTGACGAGGATTATGAGCAAGTTGGTCGGCAGCTTGACGTGCCTTGATGGCCTCGCGCATCCATGCATCACCATACTGCTTTCCATGCAAGGGTCTTGTTGGCAGAGCAGGTGTTTTGGTAGGTGCCCGAGCTGGTGGTGGTTTATAATATTTGTCAAACTATAAATGTAAGTCTGAGAAGGATAACGAGCAGTCGGAACACTTACCACAGCCTCGAGGTGAACCCTCCCATCCACAACGTCTTGAGTGTCCCATCGATCTTCAACATAGGCAAGCTTATAGTTAGGGTCAAGAACTGTAATTATATGAGAGGCGTCACATGCCATAGAAAATGATATGAACACTCACCGAGACAAATGAAATATACGTCGGAGTCACTCGTCTTCTTGTAGTATTTGTTGACATTCTTGAATCCTTGCTTGATTGCATCCGCAATCGGTGCATACTGCGTGCCGTTTGCCATCTCTTGCCACCGGTCGGCAAGGCATTCCAATGTAAGGATCGTTTGCGATGCAGTTGGGTGCTTCGCTGATGAGAAGGATTGTTGGGCAGTCGCTGGTTCCTTCAGGACTTGATGAACGAGCCCAAGGTGTTTCCAGTCGCTCCGATCAAGCTTGAAATCGTTGTAGGACTTGTTGTGAAGATTTGGGACCTCTTTGCTCTCATCCGCGAGGTTTGTGAAGCGGTTCACAGCCTGTTCAATTATAAATGTCAGAATGATGAATACTGAGAGAGAAAAAAGGCTTACCTGAGGTAAGAGTAGCATGTGATCGAGACATTTATATAGCGACGCCCAACAAGTCCTGATCCACTGCAATAACTCGAGCTCGGGGACGTTCTCTTCCTTGCAGGCCTTCTTGAAGAAGGCCCGCGCTTGAGGCGATTTTCAAATCTAAAATCTCAATCAGTAAGAGCATGTAATCTATGCCGCCACAAGAAATAACATACCTGCTCAATGAGTGCGAGGGCTTTACCAAGTGAATCACCAGTGTCAAACACACCATCCTTCTCATGGTCACCGCTAACTTCCATGGCCGCAAGCTCCTTATTCAAAACATCAAGATTAGCATCATCCCCCATATCAAGCGCCTGACGGATCTTCTTCATGAGAGCAGCTTGAGGAGTGGGTGCGACCGCATCTACAAAGTGACGTGCAGCAAGGTTCAGTATGTGTTCCTGGCATCTGATGCGGTGCGTGGCAGGTATCCACTGGCCACCCTCTGGATCAATTGCGTGAGCGACCTCCTTCATTGCAGTATCGTTGTTGCTTGCATTATCGGAGGTCATCCACCCAACCTATAATATGAACCATTAGCTTTGCGGTAGGATACTAGGCCAGACCTTACCTTTGCTCGGAGGTCGTACATGTCGATTGAGTTGATAAGTATACAAGCAATATTTTGCCCACTGTGATTGCCCTCGATGTGCTCGAAACTAAGCTGCTCGCGATGTAACTCCCATTTCTGGGGGTTGTCATCTGGATTCCAAATATAATGGCCAGTGACAGAGAAAAATGGGTCGCCAATGATCGAAGTCCATGAGTTGAACATCATGGACACTTTACTATCAACCTTTGCAAGACATTCACGTATGACGTTGACTATGGCTTCTGCTCGTGCCTTGATGGTCTCAGTGAGCTTGGTGCGGTGAGGGATGTCACGTTCAGTAAGGCCAGGGCGAACATAGCGAAGTAACTTCCGGAAAGCTGGTTTGTCAACCAGCTGCAGCGCCTCATCTTCAGTCACAATAAACTCCATTAGGTACTCCAGGAGCCCTGCCTTTGTGAATGTAGGCGCTTTGGTGACAAGAATAGTGTCAAGGGTAGATTGCCTTGAACTGTCAATGATTCAGCGCTGGATTATAAAAAATGTTAGTTTGACTCACAGGGTCTGATCCTCGCTAGTTGGAACAGCACGAGGGTGCAAGGCAATCCCTGCAGCGCGGCAGCGAGCCTTGTACAGTTGAAAGTGATTCTTTTGCTGGTAGATATCAGTAAATCAAGAGACATCATTGAAAGGATAAAAATGTACCGATGTGACAATCATACCAGCGCTAGGCGCGTATGAGTGCCATAGGCATATTTTGCCTTGCATAGAGGAAAAGAGTAAGGCGCTAGTCATCAGCGCTATTCAACTGCCAAGCTATCCGCTTTGGAACCGCTTTCTCCCATAGCGCGCTGCCCGGCCCGATGCCTAGGTATCCCGTCCTCCCATGTCCTGCCTATGTCCACCTACCTCCACTGGTGCGTTATTTTTCCTTAAAATGTCGCTACTCATCAGTTGCAGGTCTTATTACATGCATCCTCGTGTTCCACTGTGCTGCATGTCTTATTACCTGTCGCTACATCGTGCCTCCATCAGTGTCGCTACTATTCTCACCTACGCATTCCCGAACTTTTACGCAGTATGATAAAATGACCCGTCGCACATACAGTACAGTACTTCTCTTCCCCAGACCTTTGCTGGTGTCGGAGTCACTTTAGTCGCTATATCTTAGTTTTGGTCCAATCGATTCCGCTCTTGCCAATCTCTCTGATTGCGTGTCGCTTGACTTGCTTTGAGTGCGCGTCGCTAAAGTTGCCTCATAAGTTTGATCTTCAGCAACGTCGGGATCGCTATCGGTAGTTGAGCTATAATCTAGTCACTATCAGGCATTCCACTTGCACTATCATACCTTATCCCTCACTTTCCCTTCTTTTGATTTCTTCTCGCTGTCGCTAGCCGGACATCGCATAGCGCTATCGCATAGGACAACTTGCATAGTGCTACTTACTTATACGCACGTTTCTCTGTCAGAACTCACTTGTCGCTAGTCACTGATCGCTACAGCGCTACTCATTTGGTTTTTGGTCTTAGGTCGCTATAGGTTATTAGCCCTTCGCATCATCGCTACACTTGCATATTTGAAGGGAGTTGCTTCAATAGCAGTCCTCTTGGGTCAAATATTACACTCGCAGCCTATTTGGATAAGTAGCACTAGTTTCTAACCAGCCTAGTCGCTATTACTGTTTCACACTGACTAATGTGAGTGTGGAGTGTAGAGATACCTCCTCGAAAGACATGCCTGCTCTCAGGTTCACCAGCATCCCTACTAAACATTAGCAAAAAAAAACATGCAGTGCTAACTACATACTTGCAGGGGTTGCATACCCAGTGTGTTTCATGGTGAGTGAAGGTGGTGCGAATGTCAGTGGTACGTTCACTCTTTGCCAAAGTAGCTTGGACAGAGGCCTCAGGTTTGCCCTCAGCATCCCCAGGTTCAGTGTCGTCCCCAGGTTCAGTGTCGTCCCCAGGTTCAGCGTCATCCTCAGGTTCAGCGTCGTCCTCAGGTTCAGCTTCAGGCTCCAAAGGATCAGTGTCATTACCAGCATCACTGTCATCAAGGCTATCATCAGATAAGAGAGACGATACAACTTTTTCCGGGCTGGTTGAAGTTCAGTAGCACTGGATAACGCTCGTTTTCGGCTCGTCGACGAATAAATATTCTCGGCATCCCGCAGACGAGCAGATGGCTTGGAGGTACGAACAGATCGTCGAGAACCAGCCGTAACTGGCACGGGTTTGCGACCAGCATTCAGCAACACAGAGAAGGTGTCTGAGCTTGTGAGAGTAGTAGTAGATGTCGACTGCCCAGACGCCACAGAGGATGGAGCTGGCTGGGCAGAGGATGGAGCACTGATTGGAACAGTATCGTCGGGATCATTGTAAAAGACAATATCCTTGGCGTCCTTAAGAGTACCGTCCACATTGAGAGCACACTGTGCGTCAGATTCAGACATCTCACAGTATGAGTAGTCAAAATATCACTCACAGGCTGGTGGGGCTTGCTCCTTTTATGTGCGAACAAAGCAAACAACCAATCTCCAAAGCCATATGCATTAAAGCATCCTAAAAAATATATCAAAGTAATATATCAATCAATTTATTGAGTTTATTGCGCTTGATTTGACAGTTCATTCGTACCTTGAGCTTTATTGGACAGCAGGAGGTGCGGGATGCGAGCCTCCGGACAGAATTCAAAGTCAATACAAATCTCAAGGATCCCAGAAGTCAAAGTGACCATGGGGAATTCAAAGTCGGTGCAAATCTCGAGGATCCAGAAGTCAAAATGACCATAAGTGTGTGCCTCACCAATGTCGCAAGGAAGCTTCGGTTCGCGGTTCGGAACGGTTCGGGAAAGTCCGAACCGATGTCCGAACCGTCCGAGAGACAGCGGACCGCGAACCTCATTCCGGTTCGGTCCGCGCAAAATGCAGAACCATGGACCGAACCAAGGACGAACCTGACCATTGGTCAGGTTCGAACCGCGGTTCGGGACCGGACCACGGCAGCACTACAACATTGATGTGTTTCATTATAGCAACTACGTCCCGGAGTCCCTCCTCTTCTCACGTTTGTTGGTATGACAAACTTTTCAATACGTTCTGTCATCAACGTGATCGACCACGGCTTTTCCGACGTGCGGCTTGTGCGCATCGACGAGAGTCTCTGTAGTATCATCCGCTTAGATGATGGATCGATAGAGACCGAGCAGTGGTCATATCGAAGGATCAAGTACCGCACGGCGGTGTGGTTGGAGTCCCTCGGATGCGAAGATGCAATACGGCATCTGGCCCGGGTATGATAAACACGAGGAGAGTTTTAAAAGCAAAGACATTTTACAATGGTTCCACCCCCTTGATGTTCTGCTCATCGGATGTCTTTCTGTAGGCCCAAAATCTGAGGAATAGCTTGGAATAAATCGCTTTGGAAGGAGCGTCACTGCTCCCGCCTGTTCGCGGTCTAGTAGTGTGACAGTGGCTGGAAACCCCACGCTGTGGATGAACTCTTCAACGACTATCAGGCGATGGCAAGAGAAGTTCGCGAAATTACGACCCATCCTCGACACGCGTGGACAGACCACAATGCTTTCAGTGGTAGGCACGCACTATCCATGTCGTGCCAGCTGTCAGTAAAGCGCAACCCGACTACCACAGCAGATCGCGTACTTAACACCCTTCGCAAGGACATAATGTTCTCATTAAAGTCGCTGCTGTGTCTCCACTGAATAGCGCCAATTCAATAAGGCTGCCTTGCGACTTCGATGAGCATGCCGTGTCATTAAGATATGCTGGTATATTGCTGTCAATTCGAACCCAAGGCGTGCTCGTGCGTTAACAACAGGGTGATGACTAGTCTTTAGTCTGGCCTATTTTCCGCAGTGAACACGACGTTCATCGCCACTATGGGGCCTAGCGGTGCTACTACCACAGATGCTTCAAGTTTATTAACGCAGATCATTACGCTGATGGTAATGAACAGCCATGGAACCCCTGTCGCAGATCATTATCTGATTCCCGTCCCACCTGCATATTCCAACGGGCAAGTATAGTTCCAGACTCTGGCTTATGCCAGCCTTTCATTCAGCATTCTTGCGGCATTCGGTGCCGTTTTGAGCAAGCAGTGGCTTCGCTTCTACAAGCTTTAACGGTTCGGGCGCGGATCCCTCGAGGAGCGGGGCAAGAGCACACAACAAAAGTTTGACAGCCTCAAGGCGTGGCATTTCTGCAAACGTTCCCTGTCCTTACGGAATTTTCATCATTGCTATTCGGCATTTCCCTCTCCTCGTACGTGTGGACGCAACAGCGGACCATGACATCCGTTATCATTGCAACCACGGTGATCGGCTTCCTGTCCCACTGGTGCACCCTCCTTGCATCCCTTTTATCTCAAGATTGTCCCTTACAAACCCCTGCTACCTTAATACTTCGCATAACAAGTGCATTCATGTGGGCAAGTAAGCATTGTTATTTAACAGAATGACAAAGACATGTACACACTGGGCGCAAGCTTTCGCTCTTTCCTCCGCAGCATCACGACGTCCATCTTGAGGCTCGTACAACGACTACTCAGTCCCAAGCCTTACAGTGACCCTGGGACGGAATTTGCTATATGTTGGGTACTTGCGACATCCACAGATCCAGACGGCAGCCTCACTGATTCACACGATTGCATGGTCACCGAACTCAGACATTACATATCACTGTCAGCGACTTCGAGACACATTTTCAGCCTGTTTTGACGCGGAAGGGAGACTCCAGCTCTCAGGAGGAGATAGATCAGTCGCCCATGGGCGAGCTTTTTAAACCATTTGTGTCTGACTGTTCTGCCAATTGGAGATGACTCCAATACCCGAACTGCTTCCCAGCAGTTGAAAATTTGGCATCAGTGGCGCAGCGTCATTCTTCCGCAAAGGATTGACAAGTGTAAGGCCTTTGCCTGCTAACTGTCAACGTTATCTGGCCGGGAGAGAGAGAGGTGTCGGGCAGACGGACGCACTGCATTGCGCATGATGATCGCTCCCGTTTGGGACGGATTCATCTGTCCATCATACCATGACTCAACCATTTGGCGTGGCCAATTCATGTGGACCGGCGATCGTCGTACCGCAGCTGATTTCGATTGGTTGGTCGACTACCTCGTGTATTGCTCCCAGGATCACACGGCAATGGGAAATGCTTTATTAACGCTGAGCGCTATGAAGGGACTTGGCACCCGTGCTCGAGAATCTGCTTACCTACGCGCGCTCATATCTGCCATGGATTCATCCAGCCCTCGTCGCCTTCGCTATGCAGCTTTACGGGCTGTTTCGGACTCTCGACTGGCACTCGCCGATTGATGCCATACAAGACGAGAACGTACGCCAGATGCTCCTCACAAAATTTTCCCCTGCTCTTCTTACGGCCATTTGTCCTACTCGTGCTGGATTAGGGTAAGAGTTCCCCTTAATCGACATACTTAGTATGTGCTACCAACACAGCATATGAACTCGTTCGAATTGAAGAAGGTATGGAATTCGCCTCGACCCCGAGGACGCACGTATCAAATGCGGGAAACAGATGGTCCCGCTCTACTATCGTCTGAGCCATGATGACTCTCAAGAATCACGATACAAAAAAACAGACAGTATCATTGGAGAAAAGGAACCGATACATTAAAGGAAAAACAGAAGTCTATGTAAACAAGAAACAATAGTCCTCATGAATCTGCAGCCATCGCCTGCGCGCCCTGCTGCAAAATTTGTTGAATGGCTGTGTTGTTAGCACTATAAGGTTCAGTGAGCTAGGGTGTCAATCGATGTCATAACGGAGTGCCTACATACAGTGACCATCGTTCGGCGATTCCCCCGTTGTTGTCGCTGGTGTTGGGGACTCGGAGTTAGTTGTTGTCTAACTGGATGGCAGTGCTTGACTGGGTAATGCCGGTCGAGCCCCACTACAACGAGCGTCAATTAAATACATCACAAGGAAGGGAAGTATTGACCTGGTATTGCATGATGCCTGCCAATCCAGCGCTATTGCCCACTGGAATAGAGTTTAGCATGATTGGACATTGTCACTTCTGTATTTACGCACTCTGCAAAAACGAGTTGTAACCTTGTTCTCGTTGTGCATCATCGGCGAAATCTGACGTCGCAGCGGCGTCCATGACTGCTGCGGTGACATCCATGACCGCTGCGGGGATAAGAACATGAGTACATGGTTGTCGACCCTTGAACTGCGATAATATTACCTGTGATGGATGTGTAAGAAGCATAAGTCATGTTGAACGGGACGAAGTCATTCAAATTGTATTGGGTGACTAGACTGAATGCGTTGAGGACAACAGGCTTCCCAACGCTGAAAAGAATGTAAGTTAGTCATTGGCAAGCAGACCGAGCTGATTGTTTGATCCACGCAAGACTCGAGTTGATCTTGTTTTGGACGGGGTCAAGGTTTGGGTCATTGGGAGCGTACGTGTTCTGGTCGGGAAATACTTGGAAGGAACCAAAGCCTTATGTTGGGGATGTTAAGGATGTCCTGGCTGTCGACACCAGATGAACCATCCGTTGTGGGGCAGATCGAGCTGGAGACTTCTCGCGTTGCTGAAAAAAATATGAGAAACATCGCAATTCAATGACATTGACCAAAGCACCTGTAGATACCCAGCGACCCCTTATCGTCATCCCATCTTCCTTCAAGGTTCCTGCACGCTTAGCGGCTGCCCCGTATTGGCGTCTCGACTCAGCACGCTGCCTTATGATCTGCTCTTTCGTCGAAGGGGCGACGCTTCTGCGCTTCTTGCCAGGCGCGGGAGAGGGCGTGGCGTAGGCGAAGCTGTGGTGTAATTGGGTGCAACTTCGGACAATCTGCGCATTGGAATCCAGATGTTCTACAGAAATTTGAGAACCACAAACCAAACCTAAAGCGACACCGTATGATACTTACCCAGCGGAGACGATGTGGTTGGGATCAATGGACGCGATGAATGCAACCATCAGAGCGTGCCACTTCGTGATGGTTTGTGTAGTACGCGTTGGACTAGTGGGAACGGTCGAGTTGCATCTGACACATGATGAGGGACATGTTCCAAGGCGGTAGATGCACAGGGTGAATTACCTAGCATCATTCGCAAGCTCCCAGCCGAACACAGCAGGGCTGTCGAAATAGCGTAATACGATCTGCTTAGTGTAATTCTGGAAGGCAGCCAAGGTATCATCGCTCGTGTAGAAATCGTCGTGGTTCTGAAGTCCGAACTGGCGGACATATAGATCCATACTGCCTGTAAAAACGTTGATATGTCCGATGTCTGATTGAACACCAAGTGCAGTGTTGGCTTACCATAGTCGTTTGAAAGAGTGTTACGCGGAATAGCGACAGACGCAAGCACGTCAGGTGATGCAGTGCCGGAAGATGTTGTGTTAGGTACTGGATTCCAGTTATTCGTTAGTGACATGATAACATATAGCCCTTGTTGTTCTGCCATTTGAACCACTGTGTATCAAGTTTCTGCAGTCCATTTGTTCCATCGTTGATTGTAGTAGTGCCGTTCTGTACAAACTGAAACCACGTTCCGCTCTCGGGAATGATTTCCACGTCTGTCAATCAAAACACTAAAGTCGCTAACCTCGGTAGACAGACGATGAACGAACCGTAACGAACCGTTAAATGCCCAAATCCTGACGGCCGTGATACCGGTATCAGATACGTTCTTCAGCACGTTCCAGATGTCATCGTTCGATTCCAACGTCGACAGCCAGTACAAGTTGGTCCCGACCAATCTGAGTGAGCTATGGTGCGATGAGTTTGCACACCATAAGCTGATAAAAGGAATCACTCTTGCCTTCCGTTGACAGAAAATCCATCTTTACTAGAGCTCACGAATGAGCTGTTACCTCTCTTGGAGATCGCCCTTGGGCGAATGGCGAATTGCAGGGGCCAGACATGACCGGATAGAAGCTAAAAGCCAAAAATGTGAAAAGACGTGCATGCCAACAACTGCTACAAGATGGGTCGCGCATGGGGGTACGGCATGTGTGTTACAAGTGCACAAATGAAGAGTCTGTTCGCTTCCGCTTAGGCGTCAATCAGATTCTTTCAGCACGACACATGGCAAATCCTTCAGCGGAAGGAAGGCTAGTAGTAGGAGCATTGCTGTGTTTCATGTGAGACTGCAAGTGTTGGCGCTGCGCGCCGTAAGGTTTAGGTACAAGTCCCGTTTAGGACAGGTTTACTATTTAGCGACGCTTTAGCGTCACGGCGTGAGTTTGGCTCGCTTACGACTTGCAAACGACAACGACATTTTAGAATTGAGCATCCCTCACAGGTGCTGTTGCGCACTTACTAGACGGCCTGAATATGCCACCAAAACCGCGAGGACAAGGGAAAAAAAAGGCTGGGAAGGAGGCGAGTGATTGCGTGCCGGTGATAGCATGGAGACTCGAGCGCTCATCAACTAATGTAGGGACAGGTTAAAGACGCCCTATTGCTGGGCAACACCAGAGACTCTGCGGGTCCCTCGTTAGATGATAGTATCGACGAGGTTACAAAGCGTAACAAGATTGCGGATAAAGCCATCATCGGATCCGCTCGTTTCGACCTAATCGAATATTATAACCACCTTGAGTTTGGTAAATGGAACAATCGACCTTTGGTTGATTCACAAGTGCAGTCCCTATATCAGTCGTTTCTTGCAAATGGGGCTGACCGCTTCAATCCCGTCCATGCGATTCCTCTTGTTGTTCACAAGGAATGGCTTGTGGAAGGGAGCTATGAAAAAGATCTTGATAAGTGCGGGGAGCTCTCCGAGCTCCCGATCTTGAAAATATCTGGGAACGCACCAAAAGAATGGAAGTTCAAGGCAGCAGGGGGACATCATCGGACAAAAGCTATTGAAGCTTGGATGAACAAGATGAGGACCGAATATGAGATGGTGTTGGCAGAAGAGACACGCGTTGCCGACCTACCTGCGGGTGAGATCGACCAGGATCAGATCGACTACATCGACAAGGTTGTGAAACCGCGTCGGCAGAAACTCGAGGGTGTTCTTGCGTATGGCGGTCAATGGATCGTCACTATTTTCGATCAAGGTCAGTTCGCGCTGAAATATACACTTTGGTGAGGGAGAATCAAGATGAGTCTGACGGAGGGAGCAACAGGTCAGGTCAGCGAAATTATTGGTCTTCATATATCGCGGAACGAAACGAAGCATGTGTATATGCAATCGCCAGAAGAGGGCCTCATCCAGAAGTACAAGATGTTGTGTGCAAAAAACAAAAACTGGTCCAATATCGAACATACCGCGGCTGGGGGCGTCTTTGCAAAGCAGAATGAACTTCTCTCTCAGGACTACGTGTTCAACCATCTGGAGACGATCGTATCGTCAGGCACTCACTACATCCATACGCCCGAGATGCAGTTTACTCGATTTTATGATACAATGTTCTCGAGTTATGGAGGGGTGCGTAGCGCATTCACTATCGACATGAGATCCTTCGCCATTTTGACTGACGCCTGTCTGTCAACAGATTGTTGCTGATGTCACGATGCGACTGGAAAACCGCCTTCGCTGGTGCTTCAATACGATCCCGTACAACTCCGATAAGGGCGAGAATGGCGACACCGAGATGTATCAACAGCTTAAGCGGGCACATCCAGTACTGGATGCGATTTCTGGCCCACTCCGGGAGGCTCTGAATGACGCCTATGAGAAACACCTTGGGGGCAACACTCCCGCATCCTACCGATTCGGCAACACAGATGAAGATGTGTGGTCAAAAGCCTATATGCTGTACAAGTTCGATGTCATCTCCGCCATGAAAGACTATGTCCAAGACAAGCGGGCGACGAAGGACCTGCCTGGCGATGTTCGGACAGCACTGGAAGGCTGTGCAGCTAAGGCAGCCCTTGTGCTTGGCCGAAGTGATGATGTACACGACTTCGGCCATTTTCCGCTGATGTCTCGCTCTGTCGTTACCACCCTCATCCGGAATTTACGCATGATTGAGAGGTCTATTTCCGAGGTGCGTATATCCTGTGGGTGGATATTTCAGTGCGGTCTGAAGGAGTTGCTCAGGTTTCTGCTTGGTTCTCACCATTTCTATATATGGCAAAGGCCCACGGGAAAGACTGGAACCCTGGGTCGGCCTCTGCTGAAATGATTCGGGCGATCATGGCCCATCCTGACTATGATCCTGAACAGCGCGGGGGCGCTGTTGCTGAGGTATGTTTAATGATGTTTCTAGTATTACCTGATGGTTTGTGCATTTATACAGATTGTATCCTCGATATTTGAGATGTTCCCTGAGTTCCTCAATATGGAAGGGCAGATAGCAAACATCAACATGCCCCGTCGAGTCACACAGCAGCGAGAGCTGCAGTCGGCATTTGGGATTGCGGATGGTGGAAAGAGTTCTAGAAGAAGTGGTACTAATGCGGCAAAGGGCAAGAAGAAAGGGAAGAAAGGCAGCGATGAAGATGATGATAAGGATGACAGTGACCCGTCATCGAGTGATAAAGAGACTGACGACGATCAGGAGCATGACAATGATGAGGATGGTGAAGAGGCTGAGGAAGGGACCGACTTGCGCACCTCGCGGTTACTCCGGAAGGAGCGCCTTCAAAAGGATGCGGCACGCATAGATAGCCTTCGTGTGGAGGTGCTCGACGCACAAAAGCTTTTCAATGGTGCAACGAAGCTGACATCCGTAAAGCGCAATAACTTGTACGAACCATGGTCTCGACAGTCAAGCATCTCGACGGGTGTTGGCGACAACGTATTCAGGGGACAGAACTTAGTCCCTTTCCACACATATGAGTGGTCTGCTGCAACAGGTGGAACACGAGCACGCCGCTTGCGTATTCTTGCCTGCATTGCAATCATGGAGCAGACAATTATCAATGCGTACCGGATTGGCTTGTTGGATGACAGTAGCGGAGGTGCAGCTGCCATTCGTCTCGCGATCGAGGACAACACCGAAAATTATCGAGTTGCCCGTCCGATCTCGAGGAAGAAGCAGAAGCAGAAAGGCGGGGGACTTGAAGGCATCGAAAAAGTCGCGCAGCTAGCGCCAGAGCACGTGAACCTGACGTGGCCTGACCAAATTGATGTTGCAGCAGTATCGCAGGTTGACTTTAAATTAGAGGTCGAGCTTGGGTCACAAAAGCGCGATTTTCTACTGGTCCATCAGACTCGTCAAGCACAAAACATCATCGATCTCGTACAGCGCAGCCGCATTGCCTGGGAGGATATTACAGGCGTCGCAGAGGCACGCGAACGCCCCCCCCCTTCGTCCTGAAGTTCAGGGAGCGCTAGAGGCGCTCATCAAGGTAAGTATATTCGCATAAAGTGACATTCTCTCACGATCCGCGCACCGCTACTCGCAGGAGCTGAGTATTAATGCCCACCATCAGCGCCAGTCTTTGAAGGGCAAGAAGGTCCCTTTTAATGGCAGCATCTCACCAAGCGACCATCTCCATGTCCTATACAGAGCAGTAGAGAACGAGACAACCGTCTCCCGCATTATGAAAAACAAGAAGTTTTTGGTGCCGTCGCAAGGGGACGAGCTCGCGCTGCTGGAGGCTGAGGCAAGAACCCGCCAGAGACATCGAGAGCGTGCTAGGGAGCATGATAAGAAGGAAGAACTGTTGGATGCGAGGAAAGGTCCAGGTAAGCGAGTCGTTCAAATTGCTATATAATTGCTTACATGTGATGTCAGATAGCAATAGTGCCGGGAGCGCGCCTGTCCAGTCTGACATAGAGAATCAAGCAGGTACTCAGGCACATTGTTTGCCGGCTCCAATGCAATGTCCAGCAGCAATGACAACTGCTGTGGGTCTCTGCGTCCATCCAGCGCACCCCCACCCCCCCCTTACCCATCCGTCCGTCCAACATGATGCTTGTATGGATGCAGTGGGTATGGGCCCCACCTTGGACGTTGACCCCACCTTGGACGTTGACCCCACCTTGGACGTTGACCCCACTTTGGACGCCGACCCCACTTTGGATGTCGGCCTCACTCCGGATAGCGACCCCACTCCTAGTTCTCCTATCATCAATGTCAACCCCCGCCCCACCGCACCCCACTCAAGCATCTACCACACATGTCCCTGCGAGGAGTGACAGTGCCATTGGCGAAAGTGAGGACAACTGTGAGTATACTACTTTTGTCATATATTTGCGGGGCCAGTACATTATTGGTGCGCAATTGCGAATTTGCAAGAGGTGCGCGACAAGAGGGTCAGACTGAGATGTGACCAGTTCAATTTTCTATCTACCTCCTCAAATTGCCATTGACGCTTCTTCATACAGCGTTGACTATTGAAGGCGGTGACATAGGATCGGCTGCTAAGTCAGGTGAGTCATGGATCGATACAAGATATCTGGCACATCGCTTCCAATCATGCAGATGATGAAGTGGGGAGTAACCTCGCGTCCAATTGTGCCTTTCACAAGGAGCAAGGCAAACCAACTCCGCGGCCTCGTCCTATTTACCGCGGAGGAGAGGTTGCTGGCAGAAGGACTGAAGGTCATCGATTAACTAAGGACGTGGCTCCCACCTTAAAGAAGCGCCAAGCCTCCCACTCAGTATCCTCAACTGACTCTTATGGTGGACGTAAGTATCATCTCTCTCTGAAACACCGATACAAGCGCTTACACCTCCTATAGATGCTGCTAATGGGAAACCTGACAGAAAGCGCAGGCAGCTTGGCGAAGGGAATGCCGGTTTACCTGGCAATACACGCTCCCAGTTTCAAGAGGATGATGACACAATATTCTCCCAATTGGCGTAATACCTTGCGAAGTCCTATATATACATCAACGAAGCTCTTAGGGCACAGAGGCCGAGTGGAAAACGATAGCTTGGACTTTGACAGCCGATTATATCTACTCAAATGCGGTGTTCTCCAACTTTCGTTGAACCTTTGTCGAACCAAAACTCCCATTTCTGCATCCTACATTGTATGATCTAGGTGCGCTCGTAGGGCGCAGTGATGGCTGCTGTGATGCCGCCGCGATAGGCTAGTCTGCAATCCAAGAGGTCGATTTGGAAATGCAGACAGACGTAAAGAATGAAAAGGATACATGCATTTCAATATGCTGGTTCGGCCATTCAGCGCTAAGAAGGACGATTCCTTGCCACAATGTCCAGTCCCATGATATAACTCATTTCGGCAAGGCATGTGCCAAGTACTAAGCCCTTACTCTACACGTTCACCTTCAGGCTCGGCGCTTTGAACGGGGGTAGTGAATCTTGCGCAGATAAAACTTTTCAGGGTGGAATTTGAGGGGACTTTGGGACCAACCAGGTGCAGCGGCAGTGGGGTTAGGGTTAGGATACTACGTGCACAAATTAGGCTCTGCGCAGAGGCACTGTCTGTGCAACTAAGAGGCGGCTATAGCCACGACGAAGATCATGAATCATGGGCCGTCCTCAAGGCTCGACTCAGCCTGACCCAGGACTTGAACGAAGGGTTGAAGTTTCTGCAAGGGCATCGTCAGTGTAGATGGAGGAATGAGCGATGGATGCACTGGTACCGGAAGGCTCCCCTCAATACTTCGTCTAGGTAAATTCCGATCTGAGCGGCGAGGTTCATGAGCGCCCAACAGCGGTTGGTCACAATGCGTGGACGATCCGAAAGACCGTGTACGAGCGCCGAAATCAGAGGGTGAAGGATGCACGTCGAGCTTGATCGTTACAATTAGAAGATCGCAGATTCGTCCGAGCGTCGAAGCACCTGGTTGATGAGAGAGGTGACGAGCACCGAAGTAAGTGGCATGTATATGCGCCAGATCATAGGTGCTGGCGCGCTGACATACAGCACAGCCAGCACCTCCCAGGCGCATAAGTCAAATCAACCTAGAATAAAACATAGTTGAGCCTTCCCAGGCGCCCTTGGTGCTCAGGGACCGAGCCGCGCAAGTTAACAGCGGACGTTCACGGATCAGCGCCTGAGCAACTGAAAGTGTCCGCATAATGCGGAGCCGTGCGTGGTGCGTGTGTCGGTAGCTGGTATGAGCGGACGCCAATGGTACTAACTAAAGAAACAAAAAGGCAAAGTTCAAAATTCTGTATGCGAACGTGATCACATGACTATGTTTATTATGTAATAATGCAAGCAGTGCCACATCGATAACATTCATCCTTGTCAAATACAGTAATTCGACCATTTTTTTTATAAACGATAACGCGTGAATGCCCCTATTGTAACTAAGTAACTATACCCTCCTTACTTTCAAATACTCTCCAAGTCTTTCAGAATCTGAAAGCGCAAGCTCCCCTTCAAGTGGATCCGAGGACCGTCCATGCCCTCCAGCCCGGAAGACAAGCAAGCGCTCAACCAAGAGAAAGCAACATTCATCAAAATCAGATAACGAGAAATCAAAGTAAGTCGTCCAGTACTATCTATCCCTTGGCTGTGCTTCTCACTGTCCGTAGGTCAAATAAGAAGGAATCCAGCGCTGACTCATCCACGCGAGGAATTATATATTGCAGCTGCACGCTGCATCACCCGATGTATCGACATGTTCTGCAAGATTAATAAGGTGATCGACATCGGTACACTACTAAAACGGCATGAACTTGCAGATGCTGGACAACTATCCGAGGATGAGGATGACATAGCCCATCGAGAGAATCAGCTAGCGGAACTGTTTGGCTACGGAGTATCCTACTGACAAGTATAGACTGATCTTTTCCTTATAGCTCTCAGAAAACACGGGATAGATTCCAGCGGAACTACAAGCGCTTGCTTGAACTCGCACTTGGATTGAAAGCTCGCTCGGATGATTCGACGCGTCTGAAGATCCAGATTGGTAAATATGTTGCTCTGGATCCAGCGAAAAAGCTTCACCCTCGAACGGGTGGGTCTCATCATCACTCGCCCCATCAGTATTTCTAGATAATGCGGCACATATTCACAGGGCCTTCTACTGCTTTAGGCAGCCAATCACGCGGGGCACGACCCTGCAACGCTGTGTTGCACGACATGACCACCGTTGAAGCTGCACATATAGCGTACGGCCGTGTACAGGTTAGTTTCCATTACCCATCGCCTGTAACTCATGCTGAGCCCTCATAGGTTCGGTTTGGACTTGGTGCGCAAAATATCTAGACGGAGGAAGATGGTGACTTCAAGTATCGCGATTTCTACCGTAACATTGTCGAGCTTATAGAAGACTTGCTTGACGATGATAGGGAACAAATATTCAAAGAGTGGAATATGTAAGGCGTGATTTTCATTTTTTTCATTGTGCCAACATTACATTAACAGGAAACTGTTCAACAATGACGACGGGCGTGATGTGGCAAGAGACGATGCTGAAGACTCTGCACTCTCCAGTACTCGCGAGGGTGGCAGTGACTTGGCTCGCCTGCGCGCACAAATGGCAGCCCGCAACGCTGCAGCCAAGACCGACACTACAGACTTGGAACGTCCAGCTGCACCTCCTACAGTAGCTCATCCACCATCTGCTCCAAGGACAAACCTCCGCCATCTTCGCCAGCTTGCATCTTATCAACCCCACGTCCAGTTCCACGTCCTGCAAAGACACCAGTACGTTCATTGGCTGCTCTATAGGGACTCGCCAGCACCTCTTCCACGGACACCATTGGCATCTTCATCAGCGCGCAACATTCCACTACCTTCACGGCCAGCATCTTCACCAGCCAAGACTGTGTCGCGAGTACCAGCCAAAACCGTGTCGGACTCGCAAGCCAATGGCGGTGCATCTGGCAGCGAGCTAACAGAATCTGGTGAGGAAGAACCCCAACCAAAGCGGAAGGCATCAGCCAAACGCTAGGGGAAATCCAAGGCAGTTGAGACTTCGGACGATGAGCCGCCGCTACTCAAAACTTGGAGCCATCCCACTCTCCTGTCTCCCATCAAAGACACCATTGTGTCTTCCAGCCAAACGTATGTCCCTTTCAATACATTCGAATAAGACAGTCTTGTCTTGACCGACTTTGCCAGTGCTCCTTCCTCGGCCGCATCTGTTCCAAATCGACGCTTACAACCCATACTCGTGTCTAGGAATTTATTTATAACGTGGATTTTGCATGCTGGACGGTGAGCTACTCTCTTGGACCTTTCTCCTTCAAGTTTCAGCGTTCATTTCCTTCATTCCTGTAGGGAGCAGGACGACAACAATGACAACCCGGTAGTCGATG